CCCACGACAAGACAATACGAGCTTGGGATGCCCGAGTAAGCATGGTGGACCATTCATTTACTGACATGGGTCGCTGACAATTCTGTTAGGACTTGGTGCGATTGGGCACGGCCCCATGGTGGAAACGAATCTTTTGCTGCGGGTAGACGATACCCATCCGCAGTGCCTTTTCTTTGGATACCCATTATATGAACATGTAGATGTTGGAGGGATAATGACACTCAGATAAATTAGCCACATTAGAAAGTAAACGGTGCAGTATGGGTCTGTGGTCGTTTTAATGAATTAGAAAATCGTATGAGATACTGTTTCGTATACCTTCCTGATCATTTGCTAGAGTAGGGTGAATATAATTTCTGTAGATCTATCAACGTTTTCGCTCTAGGATTCGAATATCTACCATGTTCTAATCCTTGATTCACTTACGCACTACGTGCGACCAATACCATCAAACCTACTACAAGTATATTTCGCAGCATGGCAGTAAGTAGAGGTGAGTCTCCTGAGTACGTTACGCCTGACCCCTAGCCTCATCTCGGCTTACAGATCTGATCGAAAACGCGACTTTCAAAGAGTTTTAGGCCAGAGTCCTCGGACTAGATCACATGGCAAGCCACGATTCCCATCGTCGCTCTATTGACGACGACAGCTGGCCGGACACCATCGCGGATACAGTCTTGAAATGCTTTGATGGCATTCCAAAGAAAGGGAAACCGACTGTTCGCGGTAAAAAGCCAGAGTGGACAGTCTTGGCGGGCATTGTCCAGTTGCAAAGAGCTCAAGGTAAAACCGCAAAGTGAGACCTGAACCAGAATCGATACCTGACACTCAAGAAGACAAGGACGCACACTTAAAGTGTGTTGCAATTGGGTGAGCAGCATAACCTTCTGCCTGCGACCTCGAGAGCGTCCATGCTGAACGTACGGAAAGAACAGGCCTCAAGTGTTTGAATAAACGCCAACTTGTCAAGGATGGTAGTTGTATAAATGATAGCCACGCAGAGGTCCTATGCCGGCGGAGCTTTGTTAGGTTAGTGAAGGTCTTTACTAAGGCATTGTCTGAATTGTATTGAGTTCCCGTTTGCAGATACATTTATTCCGAAGCCCTAAACGCTATGAAGGGTCTTCCGTCTATCCTTGTAAGAAAGACGGGACAGCAGGACACGAGTTTTCAGCTCGCAAAAGGGATAAGTTTTCACATGTATATATCTCAGTCTGCCTGTAAGTACTCGAAGCGACTGTAAAATAATTCCTTGGATGTTGTCTAAGTCTCTTTTAGGTGGTGACGCTTCAATGGCAGCTCTTCTGAAAAGTCAATCAGAGGAAGAGAGAAAAGCGAACGAAAGCAAGGCATTGATGTTCCTCGAGAAGAAAATGGAAACTCCTGCAGCCACCATGGTTATCGCGCCTAGTTCAAACCAGGTGCTGCGTGGCAGAGCCGATTTCACATCCATGGGAGTGCTGCGTACCAAGCCAGGGCGTGTCGATGCGGAACCGACATTATCGATGTCTTGCAGGTCGGTGAGTCCAACGATTTCTTTGATGCATGAGTTCGAAACGTCTCAAACCACGGACTATGTAGCGATAAGATAGCCATGTGGAATGTCCTAGGTCTTGGTGGCGCTCTACTATCCCATTTTGTCGAACCTCTGTACTTGGAATCTATCGTAGTGGGAGATTTGTATGATAGCGAGGCCATGGAGCGGGCATTCTGCGAAAGAGTTAGTGGAATAAATGGTAAGCCACGAATTCCATTCGATCCATTTACCTGAGCGTTGGTTCATGTTCTCGCCATTTGTGCTAGACCTTCCTGCACCTTATAAAGTTACCCGCCCCAAGCTTTTTGCGACAAATCGCGATTTTTTCTGGAGCAAGACCAGTGTGTCTAGCCGACATGAAATCAAGCCGATTCCTGCGGATACATGTTCGTGACGATCGTTTGCCACTTACATTATCAGCAAAGCGATTAAAATTCTCTAGGTCGTTCCAGCAATCGCCTGGAATGCAAGTCACCCGAGGGACTCTGAAGCGATCACCAACGGCCGGCGGCAAGGTTTTGCCGCAAAAGCTGGAACGTGGAGCGCTAAAGCGCGGTAAGTTATTTGGTGAGAAGTCCGCAAATGACGTCTCATATCCGTTTCTAGGTCACCAATATGTAAAGCACTGCTTTTCGAAGAATTTCAAAGTCTTCTGGAGATCATACCTCTACACGAGCGTTCAATGTCCCTAGGGTACGTTTTTAGGTATCGTCGCCATGATCCGAAAGTAATTGAAATATTTGCTCCACTACAGACAAATAGATTTCTCGCGACTCTCATACCGTGATGTAAAACGTGCGAATACGTCTTATCAAACCGCCAAGGCGGCGCTGTTTGATCAAAAGTTCCAGAGTTGGGTGGTGAATCCTGCTGAACTTGAAGAGTTTTATATGGAGGTAGTCCCAGTGGTGGGTCGTAAGAGAAATAGGGAAGATGATCCGGAAGATTCACGAAATGCAAAACACCGCGACGGAAGTGGATAGGATGACTAAAGCCTGGTGCCTCGTGTTATAAATGTACATAGATGGGCAAATATTAGAATACAACAAGCGCATCCATTAAATTAAGCATATTATCCAGGTTATACGATGTTAGAAAGGGAGTAACAACACTCTGGCCCTGCACGATAGGTGGTGGACACGCATCCGAATGTGTGACAGCCCAGCAGTCGGGTATATTTCAAATTCAATGCGGGAGTGACCCGTGAGTTACAGAATATGACACTACTGCTCATCCCACCTCCGTCTGCGTTCTGTGGTCGATCCACCTCCATTCTTGTCCTTTCCCACAAATGACGTTGAACTCCCTTGCGCTGACGATGCTCGCTGAAAAGCGGTAAATTTCATTCCTCCGACCCCACGGTTTGTCCCCAATTCTGCTGTGCGCGAGATGTGGTTGGGTTCGGGATTGCCACCTATGCCCACATGTCCGCGATTGCCTATCGGAGCAAGATTTGGATTACTGCCACCACCAAAGCTTCCCCTATGTCCGTTTCCGCCGCCAAATCCGGCCCCTCCACGACCCCTCCCCCGTCCTCTTCCCCGTCCTCTACCTCGCCCACGTCCACCACCTCGCTCTCGTCCTTTTCTAAAGCGGCCATTCTTTAGCGCTAGCGTCAGCAATTCTGGAGGGACCGTTTGCCCAGCGTCTTCCAAGTTTCGGACCAGCTCCCCGGCAAATTTATCCTCCTTTTGCGTAATCAACGTATACGCTGTGCCCTTTTCACCCGCTCGGCCGGTTCGCCCAATGCGATGGACATGTGAATCAATATCGCGTGCCACTGCGGGAAATAAAAGCATATATAAGCTTCAAACTGGTTACATGGAACATATTTCAAATACTTTACCATCATAGTTAACCACTGTTTTGATAGATTTGATATCCAATCCCCGGGCTGCTACATCTGTGCTCACCAGAAGTTTAACCTTCCCGGCCTTGAAGTCATGGATGACTTTATCCCGCTCGTGTTGTAACATATCTCCATGTAGTGGACTGCATTCGAATCCAGAAGCCTTCAAATTTGCAGCAAGTTCATCAACCCCCGTTTTTCTGCCCACAAAAACCAGTACGCTCCCGTCCACTGTGAACTTGACAAGCCTTTGTGTAAGCCAGCCCCACTTATATCCATCGTCTTCAAGAACCTGTACAATTTGTGTGATATCCGTATTAGCTTGACCAACGCCACCAATGCTTATTCGCACGGGCTCGGTCAGCACGTCTCGCGCCAGGCGTTCCACTCGCTTTTGGAAGGTTGCACTAAAGAGTAGGGTTTGTCGATCGGGTCGGACGTTGTTACAAATGGACCGGACTTGTGGCTCAAATCCGAGATCAAACATACGATCCGCTTCATCCAAAACCAGGTATGAAACTCTGCGGAGGTTTGTTGCCTTCATTTTCACCAGGTCAATCAATCTTCCCGGGGTCGCAACCAGAATTTCGATCCCTCCGCCCCGTAATTCCTTGAATTGTTCACCTTTTGACGCACCGCCGTACACAACACCAACCTTCAGACCGTAGGCTTTGGCAAACTTTTTCGCCTCGAGATATATTTGATGTGCGAGCTCTCGAGTTGGGGCCAGGATTAAACCGATGGGTCCGTCCCCTTTCTCCAACTCCTCTTGATCCATCATATGCACCAGCATGGGCCATATGAATGCCGCAGTTTTTCCACTTCCCGTTTTTGCAATGCCAATAATGTCCCTTCCGCTAAGCGCTACTGGGACCGCTTGTCGCTGGATGCCCGTTGGTTCCGTGTATCCGTGCCTGCGGATAGCGTCAATCAAGGAGTCATCAAAGCCAAAGTGCGCAAAGGAGATGCACGGCTTGGCTATGTCATGTCCTGACACTCGCATGTCTAGGTCTCGGCGAATCTGCCATGCTTCTGCCTCACTCAGGGCGGCAATATCTGAATGTTCCTCGTAAAAATCTTTCTCAATCTCAGGGTACTGAATCTTTGAATGATCTACAGCAGGTAACGGTTCAATTTCTCTTCTCTTCATATCTCCCAGCGCATTGTCCCCCAATCCTTCGTCATTTTCCGCCAGAGCAGCATCAACAGCGCGGGCAGTCGCATACACTTCCTCGTCCGAATCCACATCGTCTTGCTGTGCGACAGGAGCATTTTTGCCAATTTCTATGCCCTTTTTCTTCATGTGCTTGACATAGCTCTCCACAAAATCCTCTTCCTCGAAGTCGTCGCGACGTGTTGGGCCTAGTTTTGCTTTCTCTTCTACTCGCTCTTGCTGCTGGATTTCTGCATTAATACCAGCCATAAACGCATCAAGCTCATCCTCCTCCTCCTCAGCGGCATTGGCTGAATTAAAGCCTTCCTTCGTCGTTATCTCTTCTACAGAAGGACGCTTGTCATTGGCAGTACCGTCATCAAGATCAAGCATCCTGCGTTTTGCCGGTCGTTCCGGCTCATTAAAGGCCGCCTCGTCATCGTCATCCCAGAGGCCTCTTCCCTTCCCTGCCCCGTTTCTACTGGCTCCAAGGCCCAAATGTCCTCTCTGATTGCGTTTGAACATTATTCGTCGTCTTTGGAACCCGGATTGGAAAGTTAGTCCAAACTTGAATTCGCGAAGTCCAGCAGCACGTGACCATTAGCACGTGACTATACAGAATGTTACACAAGAATTTCTGGTCTTGACATCGGATTTTGAGCATAGCGTAGAGTTCTTCCCTTTTCGCCGTTTGTCCATCACAGGAAGGAAGGTAAAGTGTCGTCCAATCATCCATCCATCCATCCATCCCGTCGGTCGCAGAGAATGCTACTCGATTGTTCGTTCGTCTTGAGAGATTGAGCAAACCCGACTTGTTACTGTGGAGGAGAGAGTTCGCGAATGTGATCACGATTCTGACCGAGGCATTTGACATTTGCAGAACGCAACCATGGCCGACCAGTACGCAGACGAGGTGGCCGTTGAGCAGACTGGAGAGATCCTTCTGTACAACAAGGTGTGTAAAGGCTTGGGTTTCGTTTGTGCGTTTGAAATTGCTGAATGTAGTATTTTTGATTCTAGTGGAGGTATGAAATGAGCAGAGGGTTCTGAGAGGGAGGACTTGGAACTTTTGGAACTGACGTTCTTTGGAATAATACCACAGCTACGAAGGTGTTGAAATCCGTGACATATCTCTTCAGGTGCTTATCTAGTGTTGCGGTGCATTTTGTTGTGGGGACGGGGGAGTTGGATGCTACTTAGGTGCCATTGGACGTAAGGACGAAAATGCTGATGGAGTCTTGATTTCGGATACAGGACTACCTGATGGTCATGCAACACCCCGTGTACTCGCCCCACACTGCTGGACGGTACCAACAAAAGCGGTTCCGTAAGGCACAGGTTCGTACATGGCGCTGGGATTGTTTGCCGAATTCTCGATCCTGATATATCGGACAGTGCCCCATTGTGGAGCGTCTTGCCAACTCTCTGATGATGCACGGTCGCAACAACGGAAAGAAGCTTATGACCATCCGCATCGTTAAGCACGCGTTCGAGATCATCCACCTCTTGACGGACCAGAACCCCATCCAGGTGTTGGTTGACGCCATCATCAACACCGGACCCCGCGAAGACTCCACCCGTATTGGTTCGCAGGGTACCGTACGTCGTCAGGCCGTCGATGTGTCCCCTCTCCGTCGTGTAAACCAAGCCATCTGGCTTTTGACCACTGGCGTAAGTGCTTTAAATATATACCTTGGTAATTGTATTTTGAGATCCTCATCTGTCTGTATATCAGGCTCGCGAGGCTGCTTTCCGTAACGTCAAGACCATCGCTGAGTGCCTGGCTGATGAGCTCATCAACGCTGCTAAGGGCTCTTCCAACTCTTACGCTATCAAGAAGAAGGACGAGTTGGAGCGTGTTGCCAAGTCCAACCGTTAAGGAGCGAGCGATATGGATGGGCTGGCACGCGGATGTCCGTGGTGTCGGCTTTGGTGGTGCTTGGGAGGTCTGTGTACAATGCAAATATATAAACAAATTACACTTGTTGGACTACAGATCGAGACAGTGGACGTGTTAGCCAGCTAACGCCCTAAGATATCAATATACTAATCGGACATGTGGTGGAAACATTAGTCTGCCAAGACAAGACCTATCTTGCAGGGATTTGCTGGTTTTACGTTCGACCATTTCATAATGTTCCCATAAAGGGTTAAATAATGTCCAGGTGATCGGACATTCCGAGGTTTCCCAACTTCACTTCGTTCAAAGTAAACGTGAGTGTGGGAGCAAACATGCTTGCAGCCTCGGAAATCCCTTCCCACTATGGGCGTCGACAAGAATCTTCACTTTCGCGTTTGCTGTCAGGCAAGCTGGATGCACCGTTGGAGGAACAATTGGAGACTCTTAAAGTATGATGCAGCCGGGAACACTAGTCGCTGAAAATTCTTCTCAACCCGTTTCATATTTTCATAGAGCAATGTATTCTTGACTATCATCAGGTTAGTGTAGCCAATAATTTCTGCTGTTGTTGTTCTCAACTGAAACTTCGTATAGCTACTATAAAGATTTTGTAAACTCCTATCAATACCGCTTCGACTTGAGAGATGAAATCGCCGCTCTTGCAGAACAGATAGAGGCATCACCTAAGGGAACGACGGTACATGGTACTCGCCCGCTGAGGTAGAATCAATTTCCCGTGTCTGAGCTTCCATGGTTGACATTTGATTGGTGGAGCAAAGGCGGTCGCCAATCGAGAAAGGGACTTGAAGTTGAAAACTGTCAGTCTTCTTGAAGCGATAACAAAGGTCAGGAAGCATTTTTGGCGTTCTGAGATCATCGACAGTAATCACTCAGATATTATACAGCTGCATGTCGAATTGCAAGGTTTTGATCAATTGGTGGAGACAGGAGAAATGATTACCGCCGCTGATTCAGTGATGGAAATGGTACCACCTTGAGTGCGAAGTCGAAAATGAGAACAACGGCATAACTGACTTTTTACTGGTACAGGGATTCTTGATCGAACGACTTGTTAGCCTGAAAGACGACGCTGATTGTCCACTGGAGGTACTCAACGCCTTGAAGGTACTATTACATCGATCGTGCCATAGTATGTTTCAGTAACATCTAACGGTTGAAATAGAAAGAAGTCACTTCAAAGCGCGCTCACTTGCAGCAAAGACTCGAGGAGCTATTTTCCGCAGCTTACGTATTCATATCACACAATGACTACTCAGAGCTGAAAGTAACTTCACGTCTTCTCGGTAAAGGCCAATCGGTTTGACAATACGCCAACAATACAAGACTGACTCTCACTGCAATAGCCACCATCGCCAGGACCTATTTTGATAGTCCCATCAATCATGAAGACGTTAAGTTGGCAATGGTGAAAATGAACTCATTGGAAGGCGCCATGAGGCGTTTATCTCGGCGGATCACCGCGACTTTGGCCATGCCAATCATGAGGGATCCGAGCCTGGAGCTTACATTAAATAGGACAAAGATCGCGTCGACAATTCGATATGGGCCTTCTTCTGGAGTAGTAAAGACAGAAGCAAGACAGACCGAAGGTACGAAAAATAAAATAGTTTACTAGAAATATCTCATGGAAGGTCTAAAATAATGGAACTTATCAGAATACCTACCAATGGTATTTGACAAGCTCTTGAAGCTCGCGCAACTCTTGAAGGAAACCGTGTTCAGCGGCAGCAGCTCGGATGGCGCTTGTGATCCTATCCAGATCTTCGCGGATAGCTGGTCGCCAGAGCTTGCGTCCAAGGTTCTTAGTGAGTGCCTCATGCCGTCCATCCCTGAAGATCCAGATGCACTGGGCAAATATCATGAGCTTGTCATCGAGATACGAGGGTTTGATGAAAACATGAAAAAACTTGGTAAGTGCCCCTTTTCATGGTGATCTTGAACACATACACAGCACCTCATGCTTCCATTTTGGATAGGTATGTTTCGAAAAGATCAGAACGATCTACTGGATTTCACCGTGCGAGTCAACCAGCATTATGCCCAGAAGAGGCGAGCAGACTTGCTGATGCTAGTTCGCGATATCTTACAAAGCGACGACCAGAATACAGTCGAGGTTCCTGGAGAATTGGAACGAGGTAAGAATATCACATTGTTGAGCATCATGTTGGATTAGGATTGAGCAGTCATGCTACAGGTGATATATTTACCGTCACCAGTGAGACTAAAGCGGGAAAGGAAATGGACGAGACTAAGGCTGCTGCTAAAATTGGCGGTAAAGACGGCCTAGAAATGGCAGAAGCGAGATTCAAGTTGCCAACATGTCACGTAAGCAAGCAAGCGCAGGCATTGGTTGAGCTGGCTCACCAAACCCTTGAGAGTGTTGCGACTGCCGATGACAGCAGGTGTGACTGGTGGTTGTTCAATTGAACGCTTGTTTGTTGACCAGTCAACTGATTCTTTGATTATAGCAAAATCGAAGCCTTTTACTGTGCCCGAGATATTTTTGACTGCTACCGCGCGGTCATACCGGTCCATCATGCTGATTCACTGGAGAATATCCCCGGACGAACAATGCTGTTCTATAATGATTGCGAGTATATATGCTTTCATCTTCTCGCGATGGGGTACAAGTATAGCACACTTCTTCCGTATCCCTTGAAACAAATGGGAACGTTTCTGGACATGGTGCCAAGTTATCGCAAGTTGGGCGAAGGTTATTTTAGAAACCAATTGGTAGGGTGCACAACTTCTGCACAAATGGATCCTGGTTTTTATCCTTTTTCGTTGTGTTGTAGCGCAAACAGCGAGACGACCTCTTGGCTCGATTGGCCGAAGCGGGTGGCTTTGGGAGTCTTTCGGACGATATGCGCTGCGAGCAGGTTGAGAAGGCGATCAAAGCAGCGCTTTATCATTTGAATGGACTAGTAAAAGCATGGAAGGTATGTCGTTTGTCAGAAATCGGTTCTGAGTGCGCGATTTAATGGGTAAGTAACACATATTTTAGCCGATTATGCCACTTGAGATATATCTGAAGTCTATGGGCATTCTGGTGGACGTCATAATATCGGCGATATTGAATGATGTCGCGGAACGTTCGACCTGGACGAAGCAGGAAGGGCACCAACTGCGGTATCTTATGTCACTGATAGACAAGACCGAAGCCCACTTTCATCGTGTATCCGGAGTTGGTAAAAACAAAGAGATAGAGAGAGTAAGCGTCATCGTGCAAGCCCTTTTCTTTTCATACTCCTGGTCCTAACCGAATATTCCAAAAGGCACCCATTCCGAAATATTCAAATCTATGGGAAGTTTATCGCGATATCACAGATATGTTGGAAGCTGCTTCACCCGAAGCTGTGTTAGAACGGATACGAAATACACTTGAGACGGTGGGCGGAAAGGACAACAATCAGGGACGTTTGCGATAACTGCAAGCTCGCTCCGCGTGACAATACAATATATTAATTCACTTGCAACTCGGCCCATAAACATATTTTACTTCCGCTTTTTGCCCTTCTTTGTGCCATCAGCCTGTGGCGGCTTCGCTTTCCCTGTCAAGACTGGACGTACTGGATGAGAAAACAGCCAGGCCAGCAGTGTGCTCTGAATTACTCAACTTACCAGACACCCTTGGAGGTTTGCCCCTCTTTGTCATCTCCTCCTCCCTGGCAACCTTCATCTGCTGCCACACATCCACCAATTGCAATGTTCCTAACGAAGGATCCTGAGAGGCCAATTTGGTTGAGTCGACTCCAGGTGGATAATGCGTCAAGAGCTTTTGGCGGCGGGAGGTTATTGAGGGTGTAATAGGTCGGAGGAGCTCGACACCAGTACTCGCTTTATGGATCGCAGAGCGAAGGGTTTGTAGCGTTCCCAATCGGGAGGAAGGTGGTGGGAGTGGAATGGGAGCCATGATTATTGTTAATCTAAGATAAGATCAACGACTTTATATATATCTTTGGTGCACTCTCTGCATGCAATGGACCGATCACGGCCTACGCTGGCAAACATGCTCAACGTCGATCTCAATTGGAATTTTGCTGCACTCCAACCGGTGGCGTAGCACGATCAGTGTGGCGCAGTGGGCGAATATCGCAAGGCCGCCATATCTTTCATGGCTGACATTGCCAGCATTGAGAGCGACGAAGGCGCAACTATAACCGTTTGCGCAGCTCATCAGTATGAGTGTTGTCCCTTTTGTTGTCTCGACTTTTTCGATGTCAACAATGAGGCTCGAAACGCCGTTCGGATGAGCAAGGCAGTTCGACCTCCCTCGTCATCTCTAGGAGACGGTCGTCTCCGAACTGGCAAGGAGGTCCGCATGCTGGACAGGTCTGGGACGACACCACCAAACCATTTGGACGGACGGATAACTGGCATCATGATTGAAAAAGACGAGGAGAGCGATTTTGAGGGTCTCCTCTGCTACGTGATCGAATATAATGGTTCCGACAAGATGACGTACCCAGTAGACTGGGTTCATGAAGAGTGGATGGTCAATGCACAAGGGTAAGTACGTCCCTGCATACAAGTATGTCAAGATGTTATCCGATGAGCAAGATTCGGATGAGGAGTGAAATTCCACTTGGAGAGAATCAACAGCAAGTAGATGAATCCACTGGTGAATTAGGAATGATGTAAAAATAGATCTTTCTGCTTCCCCATAGCAAAATACGTATATACACGGTGAATATTCTAGCCAATTGATCCAGGTGCCATCAAAAACTTATGCTTGATCAATAATCGCTCAATTCCATCAAGGCCTCTCACAAGCTGATCCATGGGAGGCCCAAAACTTAATCGAATGTAGTAATGGAAAGGGCTGTCAAAAAGCTCACGTCGGCGGCCTGGATTTATATCAAAGAAGATGCCCTGTAAAACATGGGAGAACGAGAACAACATATTTAGATGAGAAGACGGCTCTCATGTCTTTCAGACATGGAAACAGGGCAACGAATTACCGGAACCACAATGACTTTCTCGTCCAATGCTTCTTCAAAGAAGGCGAGTCCATTGTTCAGGGGCTACAGTGATGGAGGCTAGCTTAATAAAGCGGAATGATTTCACGTAAACCGTCTCCTACTCACCTCCGGCAGTGGGCGCAAATCCAGCCATATATAAAAGGTTGCCTTCGGCGGGTTAATAACTGGCAAATTCATCTGTGATAATCGTCCAATCACATAGTTCCGCTTGGCGAGGAAATGTCTCTGCAGCGCTTTGGCATCTGAAAGTACACGTTCGGGCTCCAAAAGGGGAATGGCCGCTTGTTGAAGTACATGATTCGCCCCTCCATCCATGAACGATCCAGCAGATGACAAGGACGAGATAACGTCTTGCGGTCCAATTACCCAGCATACTCGCCAACCAGGAAGTCGAAAGTTTTTGGTGAGACCATCCACCCTGCGAAGAAATAAGATGAGCTCCTATCCCTGCCCACATCATGGTATTCCTCGCGTACATAATTACGGGATCTTTGTTCACATCCTCAATGTGTTCCGCAGCGGACACTGTTCGTCCAAAATTTTCTGGACCGTTGGTGTAAATGTAATGGCTGTAAAACTGAATGGCAGTGGCAGAAGTGTCAAATCTTGTGGACAGGTTTCCTCCAAGGGTACATGATGACCCACCTCATCCAGCACTAATGTAGTGTGATGTTCTTTTGCTATCCGAATCCATTCTTTCATCTCATCTCCCTCAACCAGCTGTCCAGTGGGGTTTGCAGGATTGCTGCAGACGATGACGCCTAGGCCACGATCTGCTACCTCCTGGCGTAAAAACTCGGGAGACACATGGAATCCAGTCTCAGGATGAAGGGGTGTCGGGATAGGTACAAATCGCTTGAATATCTTGCAAAATCATGAGGCTTCAAACAAGCATAGTCACATGCATAACACTACTCTTACCCCTAAAAGTTGCTCATATGCAGTGTACTCTGGCAGGAAAAAACCGACATTCGCGTCCCCAATCACGCCCGCAATTCTTGTCAAACCCGCTCGTCCTCCGGGAACAATGCACACGTTTTCGTGAGTATATTTGGATTGTTTTCCTTGTCGATAACGGACGTTGTAGAGGTTTGCGACGGCCTCTCTTAAGGATCTGACCCCAGACACGGGTGCATCTGGCAGAGGAGAAGTCAAGTGAATCAGTTTTCCTGATGGTCAGTGATGCTAAAATAACTCACATTCGAATTCCTCCTCCTTGAGATGCAATTGCATTGGTTTCTCTGGCGCATTTTCAATATGACCGACCTCGGGCGCTCCCTAATAAATTAAATGAGAGGTTTTGCCTTGTAGGACCACAGCAGCCAAAGTCGCACCTGCCCAAAGTTTCCCCAAGTTTTATCTTCAGATGACCAGCCTTTCTTGGATGCCCTTCAGAAAGCTCGTTGATATCAAGAAAGCCCGGTCGTAATCAGATTGAAATGGCCGTAAATACCTGTCCATCACATAAATTACACCAGTGTTTGACGGATGCTAAGTGAATGCGTCCATGTAAGTCGTATCTCATAGAGATCTAAGAAGCATACAGAGTAAGTCCTACCTCTATAGTCGGAGTCGAATTCAGCCGATTAGATCCGCCGCCATGCACATTACCCTTATATTCTCTCAAAACCTGATGTGCTTCAGAGTCCTTTTCAGAGCCGCGAATTTGGCGGATAACTGCATTGACTGCGTTCTGTACAGTCATTTTATGCTAGATGTAAAAAGGCCGTATGAGTACGACATTGCTAGGATTTCAATGAAATGAGAGCGTACTTGATGCATCTCTTGTGAAGGTTGTTCAGGCATTATGAACGTTGGTAGCTACTGGCAGTCTGCAAGTCGCAAGGTCAGGAAGTCGATTGGGTACGAATTTAAGTAAGTTCGATCATCGAAGCATGACGTCATGACTGGAAATCGCAACTGAAAGCCACGGTCATTTGCTCTGGCTAGAGGCTACTGATTTCTTGCCTGTATTTGAATCGAACAAAGAGTTGGGAAAGGGCAGCGCAGGATGTGCAAGCTGTTGAACATGATGTTCACACATGATGTTCACACATATTCGAAAGGCTTTAAGCATTACAAGAATGCCCCTTTGCGGAAATTGCCAGCATCAGTAGGTTACAAGCATCCGGAAGGCCAAATCTCTGACGGACTCATATACACAGACACACGCACACATAAAAACTAGCATAACATGCGATATCTTTGCATTCTACTCAGTGTTTTATAATATAACCAGAAAGAACTTCCGCGTTGCACTAGAAGAATGTACTCCATTTTTTCTGTCCATACGTCACTGGCTATAGAAGCATCCCCGCCATCATCCACCATGCCGCTTGAACGATTATAGGAGAGCTTTCGAAATGGTACTGAGGCGATGATAGGGAATTCCTCCAAGACCTCGTTGATGAAGCATCCTAACAGTGCAAACTCACTCTGGAAGTGTACACCGGTACCAGAAAGACCTCGAATCCTGGGTAATCGAGGGACTTACCTTACGGCAGTGTCATAGAACATATTCGTACCGACCCACTCATGAAAGTAACGTTATGTTCATCTATCCGTCGACATCATTCATCCCATCTGTCATGCTGTATAATGGGTATGAAAACGATACTCATACATGCATCGCCATGACCACCCATCCGATAAATGCAGTTAAATATGACCTCTTTAGGCCACCGTCAAATGTTCATGCCCAGATAAGATTACTCGTTGTATCGAATGCTCGCGACGTACCCAGATGTATTCGACGCCATGATGTTAATCAAATTTGCTATCCCGCTTGCAATTGTTAATACCTGACTCGACCACCGTTGATGTCAAAGATAAATAGACGCTTGTGGGATGCATCTGCTGAACCTTGGTCTGACATACCTTGTGTAAACGCACGAATCCATCATATTGCAACATGAAAGGGTGTATACTTCATTACTGCCACCAACAAGGGATCCGATGACGTTCCTGTACCGATGCTCCAAAGACCTTGAGTGTATCCGACATTTTTACTTATCGCCCGATATCAGTGTAAATATTCACATCATTGTAAAAAAGTATTCTAAACGGGTAACGAATGCACCGCATCTTAGCCTGCTTGAATAAGTAAGTTGAAATGCCCATCAGGTCGTTTGGCATCAGATTCCGGATTCAAAACGTTGGGTCCGATTCCATATTGTTTCATTGAACCAGTACATGCTAGTGTTGACCAAGCCTTTCATACTGCAGTATAATAAGTAGGTATCCGTACCTACTGCTACATGCTGTTACACCAATAGTTCGAGAGGAGAACTATAGTTTTGAGTCCTTGTCGACAAAATTTTGGTGGCCTATTTCAATAAATGTACAGGTATGTAATAAGTATCGCTAACTCGAATGTAAGTAGGAGTTATCATGAAGGTTGCTTCGTGTGTCACGTGGCTACCCAAAGGTAAGCTCATCGCATTCCTGGGCTTCACTGCCCAGATCAAGTGATCTGGATAGTGACCGTCTTCAATGTCGTCGCCGAAATTCGCGGTTCCAGGGCTACCGGCTTCCAAAGTTACAGCAGAGGCGGGTATTTCATCAGTTCATGAAACGGCAATCGAATCAGAGAATGCCACCAAGGAGGAAGCTACCGACGACTTTGTAAACCCGGGTTTGCCTGCGTCCAAGCTCACCGAGAACTCAACGGAGAATGCCAGAGTGCAGAAAAAGGGGGAAGCTGCACCTCAAACTATTGAGAGAGCACCGCAATCTCGTCCTGAAGCGCCGCCCTTGAACTACGAGCCACCGGAATGGTCTGCAGCACCGAAGGAGGAGCGATATTTTGAGGTGCGAACGGGCTTGTAGATTGTAATAATGAATGACTTTCTCACTACCTTCGGGATTTAGGTCTTGAAGGGTGGACAAATCATACACCGAACTCCATCAATATCGAAGCCCATGCTCGTTGTTGGTAAGTTTGCAACTATTTATTATATGATGTACTTGTCCTTCAACGATTGGCTAGGTCGTCTACCCATTTGCGATATCGAGTTGGAGCATGCGGTATGGTTCGTTCTTAAGGTCGCATTATTAAAGAAGGTTAGGCGGATTCCGCTGATTACTATATTGTGTCTAGAGCATATCACGATACCACGCGGTGATTCAGTTCAAAGGAGATGGTGAGTATGGAAAACTTTACTTCACCAGATGACTAATGGGAATAACATCTTGGAGGACAGGCACGGCATATGTTTATGACTTGGGGAGCACCCATGGAACGTTTTTAAACAAAGTGAGCAGGCTGTCCATCCGAGCAGATCGTAGAATTGTATCTCATCTATGATGAATTGTGACTTCGTAGAGCGAACTTCCGAAGGGCTCTTATCAACGTCTACGGGTGGGAGGTATATGTTCGGGTGATGGTTGCTATTCTCTGAGGTTTGCTTACGCGGTGATTGCCAGATATGTTACGGTTTGGAGCAAGTACACGCATATACATATTCCAAGGAGAGGGAGAGCAAGTGGAAGAAATAAAACGTGCCCCCGTGCCACGTAAGCAGCTAGCACAAGCGGAAAGCACTGGCGTGACATGGTACGCCCCGCTTTGGACTGCTCGGTAACACTGCATTGCCTGACCCACTTTTTGCAGGGGGTTCGGAGAAGATGCCTCAGAAGAAGACCAACCAGTCGAATATGATTTGCCAGAGAATGATAATACGGCTGTCGATGAAAACGCATATTACTACGCCGATCCAAGAAAGGCTTTGCGTTTATGGTTGGAAGCACGTGGTTATGATATGGAATTCCGGGTCGAGGAGGAAGGGCATGGACGAGACCGGGGCTACGTTGCTAGAATCGAACTACCAGTTGAAGTGGGATATGGGGCTGCGCTTCAGGGTGTGGGGCACGGACGTCGGAAGAAGGAGGCGGAGAACGATGCGGCTTTGGATGCCTGTATCAAGCTGGATAAGCGGGGAGTTTTGCGGTCGAATAGGGCGGAGCAGGCTGAAGCAGGTACGTTTCTTTAGTCTTGAAACAGGTATTGGCAAAACTCGGGTCTCAAGCACCCGGACACTTTAGAAAGAAATCGTATGAAAGCGCTTCTCGGGGATGAGGACGAGTCAGAGGATTCATTTTATGATCGAACCAAACGCAGTGAGTCCAGTCATGCTAAGTTGTGCACTTTGTGCGACGCTCATGTATGCCCACTACAATAAGCGGGAAAATCGAAAACGTTACCAAAGAAAAGTGCACCTGCCAAAGCCGAAACTTACGAATCTCTCCTCAAGAAGCGAGATGCTGTACTCGCTGACATTGCAGATATTCAACGACAGGTGGAGGCAGACGCGGAATCCAAAGCTGATGGAGACGCAGACCAAGACGAGCTTGATCAAGTTATGCTTGCCTTGCACAGCAAAGAAGCATCACAAGCTAAAGAGACTTTGAAGAGAAAGATCCCACCTTTGCAAAAGGTTGGATGGCAACTATGTCTTCTGGCTTGTGATGCAATCTGCTAATTCTGGTCATATGAGAATAGGAAGTTGAACGGTTGAACAAGTTGATTAAACTGGTTGCGCCAACTTCAATTAGCTTACCGGCACCTCCGCCTGCAGCGACACAAAGTACCCAACCTGCGGACGCAAAAAGGACGAAGCCATTGCCTGGACCCTCACCAATATCTCAACCCCCAGCTGTGCAACAGATGCCTCCATCATCACAGGAACACAAAACCACGGATGATGACGAGGACATTCCGTCTCCAAAGTACGGTCTAGTGATACCACAACCACCACTCACGGGCAATGGTAAAAGGAAAGAACCAGACAGTACGTCAAATGGAAAACCAGAACGAGATCCGACGAAACGACGAAGGGTTTATGGCGTGTTAACTCAAGCGCAGGTTGAAGAACATGAACAGGTGGAAAAGGAGGAGGCTGTGGATTGGATCGCGCCGGGGGGAAACGTTACAGATGCTGATGTTGCAAAGTCTAACGCGGCTTATGGGTATTGAAAAGTCATTGTTCTATATAAAGAAATGTGCATAGTTCGCAGGACGTGGATTTACTCCAATACGTATCCTCTGCCTTTGCTGGTTCTCACGTATTTCTGGATTAGCAAGTCAATCCTCGACTTTCTAACCCTATGCAAAACCAGGCTTGCTCCTAACCCACGCGCTACAATCGTTGAATGTATACAGAACCGCGGCCTTGTAGAGACTATTTGCTGCACAGCAGATTTCTGAGCCATACCATGGCCTCTACCAAATCAATGCAGGTACACAGCATGTATTGCGGGGATAGGTTTGTTGCGATAAGTGAAAAGACGGGCCAGCAGGAGATACTGTCGTCAATTATAAAATCATAACTGCGATCAAGCCAGTGACTACATTCTCTCTTCTTTAACTGCTTTTACTGATCGCCCACATCGATTGTCAAATGTAATAATGTACTACTGGTGATGTGATGGGCCGCGTTTAGTACCTGACTAGTAGTAGCGGGCGTGGTGCATCCACGCCAGGTACGTTGACGTATTTATTTAATGATTGATGTGGGGGATAAAGGTTAAAGAAGAAGAGAAGGAGCAGGGAGAGAGATGCGCATCCGGTAGGCAGCGTTCCCCGATTATCTTCCTCCTCACCGTAGCCCTCCTGTATATATGCGCGGATTCTTCCCTTAGTAGCGCATTAGCTTCGATGGACCGTACATTACAGCTAGATCAAGTCACCTATATGCATTGCCCGCACATACACCGTCTTCCTATGCGAGGCACCGGCAAGGAGACTCCGAAATCCGCTCAAGAGTCTCCAGGATGTATCGTGCCTCGTCATCCCCGGCATTTGTGCTGCAGCAACTCGGACATGTGCTTTTATACCACTCATGTGGCTAATGAGCATGACGCGAGACTGGAGGTTGATGCAGGATGTCGGCTAGTTCTCTCGCGTGTGGAATCATAACGTCTTCGGTTTTCCTATCGAACCCGATGTACAAAACATCGGTACTTTGAGAGCGGGAAAACACCATCGGGGAGCCACTAAACATCGTTACTTTACTCGTCTGCCCAGAACATGGGTACATTCGCGCGAAGACCGACCTGCCGCCGTAGACTTTGTTCGGTCCTTGTACGGATTATAGCCGCTCCTGCCGAGTCCCGTATACATATATTCGATACGTTGTTGGGGAACGGTGCGTCAATTGATACTATTGCAGCGCCTGCTTTGAGAATAACCAACTATGCGATGGGGAAATACAGGCATCAGCTCATAATAACAGCTACGCGACATCCTGTTAAACCGTGGGTTCAAGATCCAAAGCGGTGCTCTAACTCGCTATACGTCAACATATGCTCACCATCTTCCACGGCATGCCTCTCGAGACATTTCTTGGGCGTTCGAACAAATGACGGAGGCGCCTAGTTTTCTGATCAATCGGTTGCCGGAAGCCGCAACCCTGGAAGGATATCTGAATGCTGGAAATCAAACCTAAGAAGAACGCTATATAATCATTGTAAAGAATCTGTGCAAATAATAATGTTATACTTATTAGATAATATACATAACAATATACGGCATCGAGCTTCTTTATTTCTTTTCCTTCCTACTCTAAATCAATGATGCCTCTTTTACTTCTTTTTAACATCATTAGCATACCTATATCTATTACTCGTTGTCTCGTATGAAACACACCGTAATCGGAATAGATTATACAAGAATCAAGGGAGCTTTCATTCGCTACCCAGTTAAAGATTTACCAGTCATCGAAGGTGGACGGCTTTTGGTTGTCATTTGAGTGGTGTTCGATGAGTTGCAAAGTCGTCTAAACAAATTCCTCAAGTAATCAAGACGTGATACGTATCTCTATATCTCAGCGATGCGGCATATTGCGCCTGGTCAATCCAAGACCATTATGCGCAACAGGTGGTAGATAGGTTGGGACTCAGGAGTGGAGATCGACCGACGCACGTCTGGGACCCAGGTTGAGGTGCCCATCGACACCAGCTGAATAGGACTGCGTACGATGGAAAGTAACACTCGACAAGTGGGGTGCTGGCGTCTTAAATCCCTCTGCAGGGGACAGTAGGGCTATTACAATAACAAAATAGTATTCAGACTCTAGAGCACATCTTGAAGGTGGGCGGTTAGTCATCAACTGTTCAACTTGACAGGTGGAATGCAGACTCCAACGTCCGCGACAACGGTGAACCTGCTGTCGCACTAGTCAAGACGGCATTTATGCAACCCGATGCCCAACATCATAACCGGCGACATCACTAGAGCGCGGATGTTAGCAGAAGTACAGATGGTTTCCCCCAAAGTTGTCGGATGGAGACAGAGATGGCACCCTCCGAACTCATTAAAGCGATGTCATGTATGACCTTGGATTTCTCTGAGTTGCTTTAAAATTCAATGTCGCCCATCCGGTGCATGCTGAAAGTTGCAATGAATGAATCATTCTGCGACCGTGTTCTGTTGGCCTGTATGTGCGCACCAAAAAACAGCAAATTGAGGTCCCGGCCGGGGAGTTATGTAAAGCCTTGTTGTGCCTCATCTTTATTGCATCCGGCATACACCATCACTGTTCAGGTCAATTTCCCCAAATCCCCGTTGCATACATTTCTGCGAATATGTATTAGTCTGCAAAAGGGAACGGCAGCGTTTGGCCACCGACATCTGAATGTGTACGCAAAGTGCTTTCGCACTCCCGATCCCCAGTCCAGCTCAGACTCAGTCACATTTGGGGAGTTGTCTTTGAACGTCAAGGCTCAGGACGAAAGAATCAAACCAGTCAAATCTGTTTTACATCGTAATGCATTGTCTTCTGTTTTGCTCTCCTGGCTCCCTACGCTCTTGCTGGTTGGGTACAAGACACCTCTGGAAGAAGGGGTAGGTGACCGTGAAATCGACGCAGAGGGCGAGGAGAGGGCTGCCGTACAGTCGCTGAAGTTCAGTGCACATTGGATTACAGTACTTAACCCCACCGTCAAGTAGGATCTGCTATAACTGGAAGCCAACGATAGAGCAAAGAGGTAGGATTCCTACATCGCACCATTTTGGACACAGTATGAGGCTGCACAAAACAATCCCAATCCCCGCCCGTCCCTGTTGTGCTCGTTGCTGCCACTCTTTGCTGGACAATTCGTACTGAACCCTATTGCAATTTCCATCGGCCTACCTCTTTTCATTCCTCGCGTCATCGACGTTCTGGAGGCAACAATCGCACTGATCATGTCCTCGCTGTCATTCTGTGCCTCCTTGCAAGTCTCGACGACGCTTCTTTCTGGACCTCATGCTATTTGGGATGACCAGCAGATCCAAGGCGGTCTTGGTCGGCGCATTGTACCAGAAAGCACTGCGCCTCCTTCCTTCATCCTGTCAATAATTCTCTCCCGGCAAAATCAACTCCCTGATCAATAGCGATACGCAGGGTCTTGTTTCGGCATTTACGGACATCAATAAAGTTGCAGCGTCCGCTGTTCAGGTCGCTCTGGCTCTCTACTTTTTCTCCCGCTTCCTCGGACTCGCAACTGCCATATCCGTCAGAGGTAACATCGTCATGTCGGCTTTACAGTTTGGGTCCGTTCCAAAATGGCAGTTCACATCAAGGGCTACAATGGCCGGCCTGGATCAGTATTCGAAGCAATACGAGAATTTTTTTACGGCATCAGGCTTATCAAGTGTCAAGCAATCGAAGATCATCCCGCAGAAATTATCATGAAATCCTGGCAGCAACAGTCAAAGTATCTTTCGGGCTTCAACTACAGAAAGAAAGTCATATCTGTCTGCAGAATGTTCTATCAAACGCTTTTTTCTCAACCATCTCGTTCATTGCTTTCGCGGGCTTGGGTGGAGAAAATGAATGCTACGAACGTTTTCACGGCCCTCGCCCTGGTTCTCCACCGTCGGTGAACATCCTGGACGATCCGATTGCCGCGCTGGATGCGCACCTGGGCAAACAAGTATTCGCCAAGACACTCCGCCAAGACCTGCGACATAAGACGGCTTTGCTCGTCACACATCAACTGCTGCCCCGTCGACTCACTCGTTGTTATGAAGGAAGGGCGTGTTGTGGAAATTTAAAAATGGATCGCATGAAAACATTACCAATACGATGATGTTGAAGAAGATGGGGTTGCAGATGGGGCACGGGAAGAGGCGGAGACACTAGTGGCGAGAGAAAAATAATATGAAATGGGAAAAGCAGTTGCCGAAGACCGTCCCGTACAAGCTGTGCAAGACAGCCTCGTCCATTCATATTTCAGAGCAGCCTTCCTTACATTGATTTTACTCGTCAACCTCGCCCTTGCAGCAACCGGAATGGTTCTCTCCTCTTCCACGTCGTCGAATCGTTTTTCGTGATCCCCGGAGAAATACCTACACGTTGATTTGGTATCGATGCAACGGATGCCTTTGTGAACCTCCTCGCGATGGTGGTTTTCTTCTAGTTCACTTATAAAGCCACGATCCTCCTCTCTGCAAGCCGAAGTCAGGAATAGCTGGGACGCTCGATGCTCCCGATGATAGCTGCGTGCTGGCATGCGCTCAAAGTAGTTTGATATTCTCTGACGGCTGATATCACTTCTTCGCGGAATACCTTCCTCATCAGTCGAGCCTAAGAACTGTCTCTCATCGAACGTTGTGGAGCTAACTGTGAACTATTTCATTAATGTTAAGGACATTAAGAATTCCGCCTAGTAACAATTCAGACCTGTTCCAGCTCGCGCTCTGCCTGATTTTACTCCTTTGTTGAACAACCCCAGACGCTGCTCTGAATTGCCCGTTTTCATCTACACAGTACGGCCTTAGTAACACAGTAGTCATGGCTGTCCTCCTCTTTCGCGCTGCCATTTCGCGACACTGTGGGATGTTATGGCTTGCAACCGGTCGGCTGGTTTTGAACCGCATGACCTTGAATGTACGAGCAATCGAGATGAGTATGGTGCAAATCCTGTTCAAGTCTCATTGACCTTCTTGGAGGTGGTGATAAGCATAGAGCTGTTGTGCAAATCGCCGTGTTAGTTGTCGTGGAGATTTGGGTACTTTCTATTCTTCCAGAGCTCATATCGTGGAGCTCAAACGTCTATCAATCATCATGCAGTCTCCTATTACCGCACATCTCGCGGAAACACTCGGCGGTATAATACCATTAACGCCTACCGTGCATAAAATAACATCGTTCGCGTTCAACAAGAAAGAGATCTCGACAACAGTGCCCACTTATTTCTCTCCAGCGCTCAGTTTTGGTGTGGACTACGATCGGATCTGCTGGCATCTACTGTGACTCTTTTGCTCATCATAATCGCTGCTGTTGTGGGCCTCCAGCATCTTCCATTGAATCATCCCTCTCCGCATCTATTCCGTTGAGCAGAGCGACCATTTATGCTTCGCTCTGGCTGAGCAATTCCGAAGCGTCTTTCAAGGTCGTGGAAACATCTCGACTACTACGCTCATGAACTACCGCAAGGATCACCGCATCAATTACCCAGTGACCCAACCGACTCGTCTTGGCCTTCAAACGGCGCCATCGACTTTCAAGAGTACAAACACGAGACGCATCTCGACCATATCATATCGTCGTAAAGACATAACGTTAATCCGTCAAACCTAGCGAGAAGATTCGAATCGTTGGACGAACGGGGTAGTGGGAAGTCAACGCTCGACATAGCTTTAATTCGTATGGTCGAACTTCCGGTAATACAATAACCATCGACGGTCGTGATACCGCGGGATTGGGCCCGTGAACCTTGCCCTCGAAATTGCTGATGATTTCTCAGGAACCTGGTTCGTTTGCTGGTACTTCAGATCTAATCTCGAACGCCATCAGTTCCAAGGACATCCGAACGCGGGCCATATACCGACGGTCAGATTTGGACAGCTATCAAGCCTCAACACCTACATCCCCACCCTGTCCTCCAAGCTTGATTCACTCGTCACCGCCAACAGGTTAAGCGTCTCCCTCACGCACCTCCAGCTCCCATGTCTCTCTAAAGGTATCACATCCCGTCCTAAAATCCTGATCATGGATGAAGCCACCGCATCCGTCGACGTTGGATTTGTTGGACCATTCAAATGGTTGAAAAGCAGTGGCTCAGCTTTTGGTTGTAAGAGACTGATGCGGCAGGTGCCGCGAGCATAAAGGATATTGCTGAAAAGCATTTCAAGGTGGGATACCAAATGACGATGGAGGACATTTGCATGATTGGCCCCTCATTTTTATAGCAGTACAAGGGCAAGAAGTTTACTAAAGCACTCAAAAACTTATTCAGAACTTGGACATGCATTCCAAACCCAAATGGATATGAATTAGGGCCCAAAAATCTCACAAGGGAGTAAGAGTTGACTCCAGCCAGAGTGAATGTTTGGGCAAAATAACCCTTTCCCAAGCATACGTTGTTCGCAATGGGACAATTGACTTTATTCGTAAATCACGACACATGGCATCCCTTTGCTTCTACTTTGCGATGCTTCAACGTCCGTACCTTTTTGGTTGCTGTATCTCCCGCTGAAAACCTCTTCACCAAAATCCTTATGCTCTTCTTCTTCCATTCACCTGCTATGAAACTGATCTTCAACTGTGAGTCTGTCGACTCATTGTGCGTAAATAAAAGAGCCGATGTGGCTGTGAAGTTCATGGGGGATGACAAATCCATCAAGATCAGCAATGGTTGGACATCGATTGTCAAAGCTCACCATCTACCTTCTTGTCGCCTCCTACCATTGCCCGTTCAACATGCCCTCAATACCACATACAACCCGCATACTGAAGGCAGCTGACCCTTCCGTTCGCCTGTCACTGAACATCTACCGTTCCCCTCGCCCCGCACCCCATCCCAAAATTGCTGTAGTCTGTGCACACGCCAATTCAATTTGCAAAGAAGGCTGGGAGCCTGTGATCTCCCGTCTTTTCTCTTCTCGTATTGGAGAAAACATTAGCGTGGTATATGCATGGGATGCACGTAACCACGGGGATTCAGCAGTATTAAATAGAGACATTGCATCACTATCCAAATTACACCACTTCGATTGGTGGACGGGGGCAAAGGACGCACTACGTATCCTAGAGTTCATCAGATCCGATTTGAAGGATGATACGATACTCGTTGGGCTGGGACATTCGTTTGGAGGCACTGTGCTGTCCATGACGGAGCTTATGCGACCTGGCACATTCAAAGCACTTGTCTTGGCTGAGCCTATGATTTTCACGCCCGAGTTTTTTATAAGAGGATATGGGTCAAGCGATCCGTATGCACCTACTCTGGAGAATGATATCTTTACCAGAGGGGCAATGAGGAGAAAGGCGGTCTTTTCGAGTCGAGAAGCGGCCGCCAAGAATTTGGCCTCAAAGTCCTTCTTTCAGAGTTGGACCGAAGAGGCTTTGGATACGTATCTGGTATTTAGTCGTTTTTGTATCTTCATAACATACAACAGCAAGCTAATAGTAGAGCAGACGTACGGCTTCTACCAAACAGATGCTGGATATGAGCTCAAATGCACACCTACAATGGAAGCGGTCAGTTCGCCGATGTCCTATCGAAGCCTTCATAAAGCTAATTCCCTCCTAGTCCGTTTTCATGGGCTGCGGTTCGACTTTAAGTGCATATTCTCGTCTCCATGAACTCACTCCTCCATCTCTTTTCTTGACTGGGGCTAAGTCTGAATTTGCTCAAGGCATTTATATTGCGAAGGAAGGTGATAACCTGTACGTAAACGTTTTTCGCGTTCCGTCATGGATTTTAGGTTGACTGCTGATTAACAGGATAAAGGATCAACATTTGGCATCACTCTGCCGAGATGCAGAGCATGACTATGTGCCGGATGCCGGGCATGTAAGTGTACCGGTTCTTTTGGATATTTTTTCATCTGGAATTCATCATCTTTGGCTTTTAGATGCTAACTCTGGAGAATCCGGATGGATATGGTGAGTCTTGAAATCCGACCCTTTGACATTCTTCGTGCGATCTGACATTTTGCCTTAGTCGAAAAGTGCGTCCAGTTCATCCGCGCGAAAATCTTGACCAAAGATGTGGGAATTCAGAGCAGGTTGTAGATTGTCAGGAATGTAGATTCCTAGATGGATATGGATTACTCGAACGCTTAGAACAAATGTATCACATTTACTCAAATTATAAATGTCGCAAACGTTGGCGAAGAAATGTATTTGGTAGTCTCTTCATCTTCCTTTTCGTCTCCCAACATACAAGTATTTCAACATTTATAAATTGGCACGGACGCGCTTGCCCGAAACCTTTTTTCCGGTCACTCTCTCCAAATACTTCATGGCTTTCTCAGGCCCACCTGCCTTGGAAAACACATCCTCCAATTGTTGTGCGAGTAGCAAATCGCCAACGATACGCACGCGTTGCGAAGTGTATGCTTTCAGAGCAGGCAGTCCCCCGGTGATAAAGTTGAGAATATCTGCGTCCTCAATCTCAACTAAAATTACTGGGAGGGGGGTTTTGGAGGGCGCTGGAAGGGTGGGGCGGGTTTGCGAGATCACCGGCTTGGTGTTTATGCCTTTGAAGAGGAGAAACCTGTCGAACAGAATGTTTTGATATGAATATTCAGCCTACGGTTATTCTGCTACTCAACAAAAAGAACGGAGGGAAACAGACCATTCATCCTTCTTCACTCCCTTTTGTAAAACCGTGACAATAAACAATCCCTTCAAATTCTTTGCCAATGTCGGATCAGCTTCCAGCTCGCGTTGGAGCTCCGGAAAAAGGATGGACGCATTGGTGGGTTTGGCGGACTTTGGGGGAAGATATTCTGCGAGTTTGTCTTTCAGGTCGCTCATTTCCGTCGTTGTTCTAGTGTTTTGATGGGGACGATGAAGGTCAAGAGGCTGACCAGGTGAGTCCTCAAGGAAGGGCTTGTGTAATCCTCCCTTGGATGACTGTGCCAAGCTTGATGTAGAGCTGATCTACTTCTATTTGGCGAATCTGGAATAGAGCGCATGTTTTCGACGGCGGCGGTGGGGATGGCGATGGCGGTTCAAAAGCCGCTATACGGTGTTGAACGTTGTCGCTCATCATCTTGTCTTGATTGGTAAATGTGTTTAAAGACCAGCCAGAGCAATATGCAATTTACAAGAATTAAGTTTTGAAGTTGTTTAATCACATAATCAAATGCATTCCAATGCTTTTGGAATGAAATGTGTCCGCAGTTGATTGGATGATTTTGGACTGGTCTCCCTTGCCGTGTTGAGGAACCGCCTAGAAATTTGCAGATCCCCGGTTTCCATTGCCTTGTTTCTACTGGAGTCTCCTAGTGCCTCACCGTCCACCGTAAATAATTGCTAGAGAGTGTGTTCCCCTTCGCTCCTGAAAAGGCCGCCATGCGGAACCCAACCCTTTATCTCGTCTCCCTCATATTCACACTCCTCGTTTGGTTCACCAATGCGGAACACTCGAAAACCGCTCAGGGGCATTTGGACGACGCAAAGGCCCACATGTCGGCGGGCCGATACAATGAGGCGTTGGACAGCTTTGATGCAGCCATAACTCAAGACCCTGACAATTATCTGACGTATTTTCGACGGGCAGCAGTGTTTTTGACCTTGGGAAGAGCGGGAACGGCTCTGCGCGACTTCACAAAAGTATTGCAAATGAAGCCGGACCATCATCCTGCCCTCCTGCAAAGAAGCAAACTGCACATTAGGCAGGGTGCTTTGGAGGATGCTCTAATAGATTTGGACAAGTACCATACTATCAGCCCGGAAGATGCTGAAGTCGCCCAACTTCAGGCTGACATCCACCACGCACAGTCCAACATTAAGGACGCAGAAGCGGCGATTAAAGCGGCACAATGGGACACAGCCATTTCGCACCTTACCGAAGCCCTCATGATAGTTTCACATACTACCGACCTCCGGCTAAAGCGTGCCGAGTGTTTTCTGAAGACGGGAGACAAGGAGATGGCTATTGCGGATTTGACGCGTGTGACGAAATTAGATCCTGATAATACGGATACATATGTCCGATTATCTTCTCTGCACCTTTCGTTGGGTGAAATCGAGGCTGCTCTGACCAATGTCAAGGACTGCTTACGACTCGACCCTGACCATAAGTCCTGCAAAAGAACGTTTAGAGAGATCAAGAAGTTGGATAAAGCCCTTAAGAGCGCCCAAGATGCTGTAGCAAATGGCGCTTGGAAGAGTGTGGTTACAAAACTGACAAGTGGGGATGCAAAATCTTCAGTCGTTGGTCAAGTCGAGAAACTGGGGGCGAGCGCCAAGAAGCGTGTATACAATATGATGTGTAAATCCTATGCGGAAATGAAGGACGGCAAGAATTCATTGACCTGGTGTTCAAAGGTTTTGGATGTCGACGGCGATGATGTCGATGCTTTGATATACAGAGCGGAGGCAAAGATTTTGTTGGAAGACTATGAAGATGGTGGGTTGAATATCTTTCTGTACCTCCAATGTTCGTATGATTTTCCGTCTCCCGCTCACCAATGCTTGTACTCGTCTAGCAATGCGAGACTATCAAAAAGCCTCCCAAATTTCCCCGCATGATCCTCGTATTCAATCTGGCTTCACTAAAGCCCAAAAGCTCCACAAACAAAGCACATCAAAAGACTATTATAAAGTCCTCGGTATACCCCGCTCAGCCACGAAAAAAGAAATCAAAAAGGCGTATCGTAAAATGGCGCAGGAGTGGCATCCGGACAAGTATTCTGGTGATCTGCCAAAGGACAAGGTCGAAAAGCGGATGAGTGAGATCAATGAGGCATATGAGGTGCTGAGTGATGATGAATTGAGGAAACGGTTCGATATGGGTGATGATCCAAATGTGAGTTCAATTTGAAGTGTTTCTGGTGATGCGCGTGGTCACAACTGACTAATCGCTTCTTTTGCTCATAGGACCCGGGATCTCACGGCGGAGGCAATCCCTTCCCCGGGGGGCACCCCTTCTTCCAGCAAGGAGGGTTTCCATTCGGATTCCAACAAGGCGGCCAAGGATCGGGATTCCAATTTAAGTTCCATTTTACGTAGAATTTACAAGAATTTAGATGGTTTTGACGCATTTTTGATACATGTTCTGTGGAACTAACGTCTGCTGTAAATATTAATGATCCTCTTGCGTTTGTCTGTTTGATTGCCGTGGGACACATGACATAGTACAGGATCAACCTTTGAGTTCAAGTGCCATGCGGGCATCCCTCTCCACACTCCTAATAATCTCTCTGCTCTCAAAGTCGGCTGCACGAATTGGTTCTGGCACGCGATATTTGCAGCACCATGCGACGAGGTTCACGGCCGTTGTCAGCGATATCATGTGTCCGGGTGATACGAAAATAGGGTTGATGGATTCTTGCGAGGATCTGAGTGCCTACTCCAAACGTCAATAATAAGTGACAATCCACAAAGCCATGCGTGATTACATACAGCACCAAAGACGTATCCAGAACTTCCAATGATCCTCAGCCACTTCCCGGCACCATCTAACCTTTTACGTGCAATATCCTTCATGTCGCATAACAAGAGTCCTTCAGATTCGATTTGGAGAAAGTTTTTCGCAATGCCAATCGACGGGACGCCTAGCTCGGCTGAAGATCAATCATCCATCCACACGATATTTTGACGAATGAGAGTTTGGAGAACGAACCGGCCAAAACCCCAACATGACAAGCTAGACCAAATTGTCTTGGATGCAGAGTTCCATTGCCATCCACAAATACCACCTGCGGATACCATTCTTCATGTTCTTGCTTCAATTCTTCCAAGAGTGACAGCAAAATGGGTGATTCGCGGAAAGCTAGGAAGCCTGGTATATAGGGCTCGGTTAAGGTCACTGGATGGAGAAGTAGCAGTGAGGTTCATGTGGAGCGGTATATTAACAGTAGGTGACCATACCCTTGCGACACTTTGTGTACACTTTCACCAGGCCGGGCACCTGAAACACGACCACACATGCTACCGCTTCATTTGTCCCTTCAAAAAACGAGACGTCCAATCCAGCAATATAATTTAGCCCTTGAAATGAAGAGTCATGTGGGTCTGCACCCCGTCCGACTAGTGGGCAAGTTTCGACATCCGACGAGCACGCAGAAACGGCAGGGACGGAAAATGAGCAGGAATCGGTCGGGATCCGGCGTTTTTTAAGAGTTTCTTGGAGGCTACAGAACTGTGTTCAAGCCTGTTGACGCTGCAAATAGAAGCCAACAATGTGCTCACCGTTCCCATTCCTCAGACATGCCTTCAGATGAATGTTCAACTGAGCACCGCGAAGGATGAGTAAGGTTGTCACGTGGAACATTTCACCATTTTGGGTTAGATGGGTTATCTCAACCTTCGAGCGTATTTCGTCTCGTCTTCCCCGCTTGCAAATGTCCCACCCATTCCCCCGAGTCATTATCGAACTGGACGTTGATTATTGTAAGTAAGGGACATCATGCGGACACGTTGTGTAAATGGGGGTGATAATGGAACTCTGTTTCTTCTTAGTTTATGCCCAGGCGGAGGAAGTTCGTGATCCCAGTTTGAAGTTGCTGCCCGTAGCGATTCAACAGAAGGTAACTTTCATGGACAGCTTACAAGTTGCGTTGGTATTGATGGTTGATGTTCTAGCATATTGTTGTGACCTGTAACTATGTTGCGAGGAGTTTTGGGGTAGGGAAGTTGGCCCTTCTCTCAGAAGCTGTAAAAAAATGGTAATATTATATATACTACATTTTGAGAGTTCGTATCTGATTCTTATTCATCTTCAGCCCTAATTTGGTTATCATTGACGGGTCAGGTTACGTTGACTTGATTGCATGCTGTCACACCATCAGGCCAGATTCCCTTACCAACGATTACAGATATCACCCGCTACCGACGAGCTTCGCGACAGATTTTCGAACTCGTGAAAACCATATTAAACGGTCATAATGCTGACGAAACGGGTGCGAATTGGGTGGTGAAGGTGCAAAGATTGGGTATGGACGAATTATTCTTGGATGTGACCGATCTGATTGAGAGGCATCTGAATGAGCGGAACATAAACGATATGGAGGTGGAGTTTGACCTTCCTGGAGGCGTGTCGTTTCGATATACTCCTGGTCTGTGGGCGGGCCATGTGATGGGTGAGAGCGAGCGGGAGCTTGACGGAGAAAGTGGTGATAGTTTGCCAAAGTGGTATTACCAAATGGCATCCCACCTCGCCTCATGTATCCGGTTGGCAATCTATTCCAAACTGGGATTCACAACATCAGCTGGAATATCTAGCAACAAACTTTTCGCCAAACTCGCTGCGAGCGCCCACAAACCCAACGATCAGACCACGTTACTTCCAGGTGTGGCCGCCGATGCCTTTCTTTGCGGAACAAAGCTCCGTGGTATACCTGGCATCGGACATTCAGCTTGCAAAGTCCTTTTGAAGCATGTATCAGAAGCAGAGATGGATGAGAAGAGGATCCTGGAGGAAGATGAGCGGGACCGCGGGATCTTAGATTATGTTATGATGGAGAGTGAAAACCCTGACGAGGCCATGCTTCCGGACGCACCGTCGACTTCAGCAACGGTTGGAACAACACGCCAGTATTTATCCCGCGAAACGCTGATAAGCCTTCTGGGTCCCAAAATAGGCCCTAATATTTATGACCTCCTTCGCGGGATAGATCCCACCCCAGTCGTCCCGTCCGGGTGGCCGACCCAAATATCCATTGAAGACTCTTTTCAGCATTGTACAAATGTTCAAGATGTCCGAGCAAGGCTGTTAGAGCTTGGTCGAATGTTTGTTGAAAGAGTTCAGGAGGAAGAATGGAGCCAAGAAAGCGGGTGGAGGAGATTCGCGAGGTAAGGGTTCACATGTGCGTGTGTATGACTTGATATTCATTTTGGTTTTGCGGAAAGAAACGTGAGACTGACCATTCGGAGAAGACAAGAAGGGAATATTCGGGCTTGGTCGGATGACCGCGAATCACGGTAAATTCGTCCCACCGTTTCCAGACACTTTCCATACTTATCTATCACTTTATGCCCAGATCTTTGCCACTTCCTGTCTCCATCTTCACGCACACAACACCCTCTGCCACCAGATCCCAAGTCCTAGTCGACAAAACCCTCTTACCGCTTTTCCGGAAGATGGTGGGCGACAAGCCGTTTGACTTGACTCTGTTGAATATTGCCGCGGTGGACTTTAAAAAGGAGACTGTTGGGAGGGATATTGTCGGCTTATTTGCCGCTCAGGAAGAAGGGAAAACGTTGGTTGACCAAATTGATCAAGAGGTAATAAACGCCCTTCCAGAGGAGATTCGGCGGGAGATTCTGGGAAGTGGCCACCAGGATACACCAATTTTGAGCTGTACGCGGAAAACGGACACAGGAACTTCTATTGCAGAGTTTTTTGCTAAGGGAGAGGGCAGCGGGATGGGCGTAGAAGATTTGAATCCATTACCTAAGGACGGTCGACGAGATACTGTGGGTCATAGAATAGTGAATGAGCAAAATACCTCTACATGGCCGAAAGGAAAGCGAAAGGTCTCTTCAAAGAAAGTAAATATATCCAAGAAGAAACCAAAGACCGATGGGCCACTGACGAAAATGTGGCGTATGGGGAAGGAGGACGAGTTTGTATGTCCCAAATGCTCCGAGTCGGTGGCTGTATCGGGAGTTGCAGCACATGCCCGGCTGCACGAAAAGGATACATAAAAGTGATACATATCGCGCAAATGTATATATTCGAAAAGCAACATGATATTCCTACAGAGAAAACCCGTTTTATCGATTCACCAAAATATATACAGAGACCCAACCTCGACATCACAAAGGCTCTCTTTTCCTGTGTTTGGTTTACTTTTTCGTTTACCTCCTCTAATACCTTTCAAGTAAACTCAATTGAGATCCGCGAGAGTCGGTAGGTTTGCGTCCTATCCACTCGGCGCCGTTTACACCTTTCACATCACAAAACACTCAACGTCAGTATACACTTACGTCCTTCCGAGCAAATCACCGCAAAATACTCGAGAGACTCACCACATCTCTCGATCCAGCACGACGCATCGCGACTCCACTGTTTGTCCCTCCCGATTAACGCTGACCCAATTTCTCATACTCATAACAGTCTTCTTTGGGGACGTTTCCTTGTCGAATAACTTTCGACAAGTGTTTCTTTTTTCTTTATCTATTGCGCGACGTTCAAGGATGACTGACGAGGAAACGCGGCGCTTCGGAGTGGGAAAAGGGGTCTTTGATGTGTGTTTGGAAAGTTCCAACGCAAGGTCTTCAGGGATCCGCCAAAGCCTGCAATCCCTCTGTAGAATATCCGCAGAATTGGTATGTCGATCTCCTGCGTACATCAAGAGTTCAAAGAGATACGCAGGCCAGGTGGGTTTCTTTGATTTTCTGGGTGTGGATGTTGGTGTGATTTGTGTGTTTGGAGAGGACGTTATTTGGGGGCCGATGATTTCGGATATTGTTTTCTTTGCGGCACTTTGATAAGGAGCGGGAGCAGTGCGGCTAATGTGGCATGCAAATGAGAGAAGGTACTGGGCGAGATGGCGGTTGGCGATGGGGAGCAGGAGCATGGTGTCACTGTGGACAAGGTATTCATTCATGGGTGCTTATAAGAATGAGGTGGGGATTCTATCACTTACCGTAATAGGTCCTCTTGTCGGGGAGTGGGGTAGCGAACGTTGGCGCTGGGTATAATGGTGGCTGTCTCATCGTTTCTATTCAATGTAACAATGGCTGGGTAAAGATAGATGATTAGGCTTTGCCTCTTCACCTTTACAGTATAAATTCTCCGACACCACTTACTCCTCCAAATCTCATGTGTCTCACATGGCAAGACCGCTGGCGCACTGCTTAACAGTTTGACTAATGGGTCAAGCACTGTTTCAAATCGCATTTTCAAGCCCTCGACATCATTATCCTCCATGGCTGATGCATCAGCTAGCGACATGAGAATGGATGTCATGCATTCTTCTATCTTTTTGGGGACTTCGAGGTTTTGAATGCGCGTGCGGGGCTCAGATGCGTATAAAGCAGTGATGTTTTCTACATTGCGCCACTGTTTACGAGAGAGTCCTCAATTATTTATCGGGGCAGGCGAAATGAAGAAAACCTATATGAGCGCACCTGTAGCTCTTGATTGTGCAACCTCTTTGGCCACATGAAGGAGTACTCTTCATCAGATTTGGGAAGCATGATATCATCAATATACAAGCATTTTTCGATTCTCTGGCTTGCCCACAGCCGGGCGTACTTGAGCTCTTCGCATGAAAGGCTGTTAACGCAGCGGTCTGTTGCATAAGGAACTAACGGAATATGGTCAAAATTGGGATCCACCAGTTAAATAGATTAGGCATCGGAGATACCTTTAAGAACGTCTACATATGAATTCAGATCAACAGAGTCCCCATACTCGATATCTCCCCGTTGCCGTTTGACACCGCATGGTTCTGGAAGAGGGATCTGAGGAGGGGGGAGGGAGAGGTACGGCGGGGAAGGAGGGAGGCCCTTTTTCGTCTTGTATCCGTTGAGTGTCTGCATGGCGCGCGTCACTCTATACTCTCCAACACAGACTTTTGGGACAGCTTGTTCTTACCTGCATAGGAAGAGCCTGATGATGTTTCGGTAATCAAAGATGAGGATGCATCAACGACTGTGTCGTTTCGAGCGCAGTGAACCACAAGGTAGAACTGTGGACGGCGGATGAAATATATAATTTATCCAAGGCCTCTTCAAAAACTACAGGAATTTTGTTCGGCGTCACTTTCAGACGAAAGCTCTGATCTTTCCAAGCTGCCAGAGAAGACAAGAGTAAGCAAGTAATTGTAGCGAATAAAGTTCCGATGCTGCGTTCAAGTTTTTGACTGAACGTTGTTCCGTCTACCGTCCTCGACTTCACCTACCAATTTCAAGAATCAAGTTCACGGCAAAGAAACCTTCAAGTGCAGCAAAATAAAGGCGAAAAACAGCCGTTACAAAGGCCGTGGATATCACTACGAAAAACGGGCACTTGCAAGAGGGCAAATGGGCGCGACGTTCTAGAGTCCCCTTGTGTTGGGTCACTTCAAGTAACGCGTCCTTACGTAACGCTGGCGTGGCGTTGGGCACGCGCACAATGAGTCACGTGCTTAAGTTGTTATCAGCAATGGTTGAAAAGCTTTTCGGCCATCTACACGGCAACATGCCACCACCAAAATCACCCGCCTTCAAATGCTTCATAACCCATCTGTACCAGACGTCTTATATACCATCCCATGAATCCTTTATCTACGCCAAAACACTCTTTTCAACGGTCAAATTGCAGGTTTCCGTTGTCGTCGCTCGCGTTCTGACTGTCTTGTAGTGCTACCGACACTGGCTATCACCTAGGGCATAGTGATCGATTTCCACAATAGCCCACCAAGTTGCATCATTGACGATGCAACAGGGTTGGCACGGATAGACCTCCCCCCAGACACTCTCGTTGAAAAGGGTTCATGCATATCCGTTGTCGGATCCCTGACGTGGGATCAGGATGATGAAATATTTGCTGTGGTGGCGAATAGAGTCTTTGAGAAACAAGATGTAGATTGTGAGGGGATATGGGGGATGGAAATTGTGAGGATTCATCGAGAAGGTGCGTGCAACTTTATTTTGAAAGTATTGTGACAAACAAACTCATTGGCTGCATAGTGTATTTACCTGATGCAGAGCTGGATGCCTATTTGGCTTGAAGGGGAACTCTATCTACAAGGCTATGCTATGACTATGATACCCCTAGCTCACCCTTCGTAATTGTCATTTTCGTATGCATTCGATTTATGTCTGAGAAATAGTTGTCAGCACTGGTGGAAATGAGTAGTTGTCATTCGCATAAAACTTACTTTGGCACAAAGTTGAATGAAGGCGGCGCAGGCCCCAAGATCATTTCTGAAATCTTCACCCAATCCTTCGAATTTGGACTCGCCATCATCGTCTCCAAATCATTCCGTCCGTAATACGCCGGTGGCCGATCATTAATCTTCTGAGGCAACACCTCTAACAATCCCACCGGAATATATCGATACAAAAATGACATCCATTCGCACATGAATCGGCGGGTTGTGTTGACTCCCATAGTATCTGAGCCCCAATACTCCAACCCACATTTGGCAAAGTCTTTAAGCATGTCGAAACGTTCTCCAGAACTGATGTCCCACACGCGTCGTTCACGGATTTCAGTGAAGATCCATGGTTTAATCAACGCGCCACGACCAATCATGACACCATCCAGATGCTCCTCTTCGATTTGGCGCCAATAATCTTGTGGGGAAAGGATATCGCCGTTTCCGAATAGAGGTAGATCATTGACAGCGCTGGAACACTCTTTGATGTATGCCCAGTCGGCCTGCTTTGTGTATCGCTGTTCTTTTGATCGACCATGAAGTGAGACGAGGGACACACCTGCTTGCTTGAAGAGGGGAAGCAGCTTGTGCGCTACAGGTTTGGACGTTGATATACCCTTTCGCAACTTCACCGTAAAGGGGGTGTCGCCAAGCACGTAGTTTGCCCCTGCACAAATATCGTACAGCTTGGCTTTCTGATCCAACAACGCACTTCCAGCTCCAATCTTTGTGATACTATCCACCGGACAGCCCAAATTCAAATCCACAAAGTCCACTTCAATCCCCGACTCCTTAATCGCCTCACAACACCTCGCAATAGTTTGCACGGAATTTCCCGCAATTTGCACTCCAAAGATATCCTCAGAGACATGTCGTTTTGTCAATGCCCATTCATGTTGTTGGCCAGAGAGTAGGTTGGTGACCATAGCCATTTCCCCACAGGTGATATCAACGCCAAACGACTTACAAATGCGGCGGAATGGTAGGTTTCCGACGGTTGTCAGAGGAGCGAGATAGGTCTTCCCGCGGAAATCCAGGGGCTTCTTTCTATCGCAGCGGAAGCGAATTGTGGCGGGATCGTGATCGAACTTTTCTAGGATCTTACGGCGAGCTTCACGATGCTTTTCGTCAAAGATAGTTGTGTTGGCAAACCTTTCCTTGAGTTTTGGTTTGTTCGCTTGCTTGGGCACGTCCCCCTTATTCGGTACTTTGGTGAGCTCGGCAATAGCGTCCATCAAACCATCCGTCGCAGTCTCTGATCGTGAGACATCAATCTGCAGACCGCCGTCATCGCCATTTAACCCCTCATTCTCACCCGATGTTCCATTGGATGTTCCATTGGACTGCCGCAATTGCATCCCTGGCGGTATATCAATTCCCTCATTGATTTCCTGCCTTCTCAATTTCGCTGCGTTGTACCAAGTAGTGTATTCATCCGCTTTCTTCAGCTCAATCTTTCTCGTTCGCAGCGCTTTTTGAAATTCCCTCAGCCCAGCATTTTTGAATACATCTGCCTCCGTTATGCTGGCTGTCTTCTCTTTATCCACAATCATTTTGCCCTCGTTGTCAGTGTGTGCCTTTGCAAATCGGCATTTTATACCGTACTTGCATTGACCAAACAAGTCGAACTGAGGACAATTAGGTCCAAGGTCTTCTCCCTTGTTCGCAAGATAGGCATCTATATCGTGTGACCAGCGACAGTTTTTACCCTTCTCACAGGTTTTGCCTTGAGCGACTTCGTTGCAAATTTTGACCTCGTCCCAGACCGCACTACGATCGCGTTTTTTATTTTGACCGCGTTGGCGTTTTTTCGACTTGGACGATTCATCTGTTGGAATGCTGAGGACATCAGCCGCGAGTTCTTGGGGTTGATTTTCTAATTTCAGACGCTTCGCTTCTCGCTCGGAGTTTTCTTCTTGGTAAGCACCCTGCTCTTCAGCTTCGTCGAGGAGAGCTTGGTCATATTGACGCTTATTTTGTTTTGCTGGATCATTCTTAGGCTTCAAATATTCCTTCTTTATCGGCGCTACACCGGCTACTTGGACGGGATCTGGTGCTGGCGCATCTTGTGGAGTAACATCGGTCGCCATAATTTAGATCGTTTGAATGTGGGAATTCAAGGAAATCTGGTCTTTAAATCAGTGCAAGCCACGCACATGACTTGTCTCTGCTAAGCAGAGCACATCTGCTCCTAACCTTCCCACTAACCCTAATGTTATTCCATGGAGAAGGAAACTGCAGCTACTAGGATACAGGTAGAGTCATGGATTGTCGATGGTTTAGAGCTGTAACTCACGATCTGCTCAAGGCACTATGGCGAGGACATCACTGCAGAAACCGTATTAGGAATCTCTTTGGGGAAGTCAGACAAGAGTATGAGGACATTTACGAGGAAACCGAGGGGAGTCCAATGCTGCAGTGGAAAGGTCTTGGGGCCATAAGCATTCCCTCACCTATGCCATATACGCACCAGCACACATTACCCCGACAAAATACAGACAAACAGAAACGCATGGAGCGTATAGACCGTCTTAAAGAGCGGCGGGGCGATTTGATGTCAGAGGTGGAATGGGTTAAGCAAGCTATCCTCTCCCGGCGGATGTGGTTAAACCAACTTCGTAACGGTCCGCCTCTCCCGATATCATCTTGAGGATGTGCAAAAGAATAGTGAATTCTGTAAATAGATTACTTGTAGTAACGCTCTAATAACAGCCCAATTTTGTCCCCGCGATCAAAAGCCACCTTCGCGCGTAAGGCACAGCTCCAGACATTAGTTACGTCGTATTTTTATCGCATTCGTTCCATTCCGGGCATCATGACAAGCTACACGGAAGAAGCACTCGTTCAAAAACTGGCTCGACTGGTGGAAACACAGGATAGTATCACTGTCTTGTCACAATGTGGGTCTGCTATGTGGTGCTTGTCTTGTGCTGGATTACGACCGTGTAGATCAACCGTGGCTTTTTTGCAGGGTTGATGTACCATCGCAAGCATGCTGGGGCCAGTGTGCAAACATGGGCCAGAGAACTCCATAAAGGTGAGTCTCGTTGAGGCATCTAACTTATTTAAGACAAAGAATTTGACTATTGCAATGCACCTGATATGACCTCTATACACTCGACAACAGCTCCATCCCACCGAAAGCTCAGTTTCCTCTACCTTGCAAACGACGTAGTCCAGAATAGTCGACGAAAAGGGGAGGAATTTGTACGAGAATTTGCCAAAGTGTTTCCGGAAACAGTGCCGCATGTTTATCGGTATGTTCTGCTTCTCTTATCGACGGGACGGTCACAGTGGAAGCTCACGCCCACTTTCCGCAGACACACAGCACCTGAAATACAGCAAAAAATCACGCGGATTCTGGGGATATTGGAGGAGCGAAAGATCTACGGTCCGGACTTTATAAAAGTTATCAAGGATAGACTAGGTATGATCCCCTCGCTGTAGTACCTGCCACTGCGGAAACACCCTTCTGACATTGAATATAGTCAGTAGACCTCCGGCAGCTACCTTTGCGTCCGAAGATGCTATGGTTATTGGCACTCACCTTGAAAACATCCGAAAAAATGAGGCAGCTAGACAAAAGCTAGCTGAAAGAGTGCACGAGATACCAGAACAATGGCCTAGTGCTGCTGGTAAGTTGCCAAGCAATAATCTACTTTTGGTGTCTGTTTACTAATGGCGACTAAGATGGTAATAACCCAGAAGTGGCGGCTGCGATCGAGCAGCTGGAGCGATACCAGCGGGCATTGAAAAGTGATATCAGCGAACGCAACCAATTGATAGAGAATCTAAACAAATTGATCCAAAAGCAAGAGTTGCATATTCAGGGCGATGAGCTTGAACTTGAGGTTGGTTGAATGTTGCGCGTCATGCCGTTTTGGTATCTCTGATCACCTCCTTTACAGCAATGTCAGCATAAGATCAACACTATTCGCGCGGAACCAACTGCTTCCACTCACCCTCTTCAAGATCAGGAAGAAGGTGTCCAGATTGGGCTCAATGACATTCAAGTCGACCATGCACATGCACTCCCGCATCAGGACGACATAACCAGCGATCCTATACAGGCTGTGATCCCGGACTCTGAGGGCCTCCCCAGCGACATCCTTCAACAGCTTCAGGTCATGGCAAAAGCTCACCAAGAAGCAACCGGCGCCCCGATCGATTCCGTGATCGACCCTACTACCGGAGGCACAACGGACGCCATGATGAATGATCCTCCAATTGCCGATGGTGTCATAACCCATGACATTGTAACGACGCTGGAATTTCTGAGGCGTCAGGGAGGGGTATGTATCATTTCTTGTCTGCAATGTCTGATTAGTCCTTCATATTGAGATTTCCTGGCTAGCTTTCGACAAAGTCGTAGAACATAAATTTTCTGCACTAGCGCATTCTCTGCCTTTAGCTGGCCGACATAATGAATTCCCATGGCTTGCGTTCGATTTTTTATATTCTGCAGCTATCCGTCTCTTTACATGTCCGTAATTCGGCAACTATTGTAATTTACATTTGGGGAATGGTTCTCTTCTTGTTTAAATAATCGTGCAAACTTTAGATTTTTTGGATGGAGTGTCTTTCTGGGCCACTGGAGCGACCGTCGCCTCCGGCGATGAGACAGCGGCATTGTCTACGGGCTCGGGTTTAGTCGATTCCGCTTCCGTAGGTGCCACAGCGTCGGTAGTAAGGGAAGGCTTGGCTGGTGTGGACAAAGATATCGAGATTAGAGGCATGTACGGAAATCCGCAGTTTCCTTCGGCGAGGGCTTACTTAAAACAGAGATGAAGTCATCTAATTCTGCAAAAGCCTTGTCGAGATCGTCATTAACAATAATCTTATCGTATGCTCCAGTTTCCGCAAAATCCATAGCATCCTTTGCTGTCGCCAGCCGCGTCTGCAAAGTTTCCTCTGTCTCTGTATTACGACTCCTAAGTCGTTGCTCCAAAACTTCAATAGAAGGAGGCTGAACAAAGATGTACTTTGCGTGCATGGGACTGTTTTTAATGCTCCGGACTCCATTGATTTCTAAATCAAGGATGCATATCCGACCGGAGGACTGGACCACTTCGACGGCTTCAAAGCTGGTTCCATAGCAGTTTCCTAGACTGAGATTAGTGAAAGAAAGATGATTTTGAGAATAAATAGGACTACCTGCATATTCAGCATGTTCGATAAACTTTTTTTCCGCAATCATTCGTTCGAATTCATCGCGTTCGATGAAATGGTAGCTTTTGCCAGGCACCTAGAGAGATAGCCCTAAGTCCCACAGCGAAACTCGATGCAAGACGCGCAGCTACGAATTCACCTCGCCAGGGCGCGGACTTCGCGTAGTGTCTTTACATTAGGACACAGCGTCAGCATCATGCATGAAGTTCAAGAGACTGAATAGATGCTTACGCGAACACGAGAAACCAAAAAGGTTTGGGTACTTTGCGAACAAGCTACCGTTACACACAAATCAGCATTTATGAGGAAGCCATGAAAATAAACATACGCTGTACATACCGCTCTAGCAAGGTGCTTCGGAAAAAATGTAACAAATATGGCTCAAACAACCAGGCACAGGCAGACAAAATATCGTCACAACTTACCTCTTACCAGACCCACTCGGTCCGGATATGACAATGGGGTGTATGTTGGCTACATTACAAATACTCAATAAGCACCATTTAAGTCGCGTACAGTCCAAAGCGATATAGCATACAGGCCATGAGTGGTCGAGTGGAATTGAAATGTCGAAAAGGTCGGAGTGGAGGTGCCGCCAACTTCAAGATTGCCTAAGAGGCTTACGATCGTAACGTGACTGTGCACAATCTGCTTACGCGTTTCAGTTTTCTTTTTGACCAAAAGCTCTCTCGCCTACGATTTTCTGGCTTTCATTTTCTCGCATTTTCAACAGTAATAGCAGAGGATGGGGAAACAAAAGAAGGAGAAGGCCCGTCAAGCGGCGGAGAAGTCGTCCAGCGGAGGTCCTTCTCTGAGCAATGTCACTCATGTGAAAGGTGTCAACTTTTACCGGGATGCTAAGAAAGTGCGACAGGTCAATATGTTGAAGGGGGGCAAGGCGACGCGGAACGCCGACGGAAAGATTATCAAGGCTGCAGAGTTCCAGACTCGCCTTGCACCAGGGACGCAAGCGAGGGTGCAACCTGATCGACGATGGTTTGGTATGGAACAACACTCTATGCAGAATAAATAGAATTTTGCCGACCTAATGAGGTCTTCTTCTTGTTGGTAGAGAACACAAGGACGATTGGCCAAAACGCTTTGACAGCCTTTCGTGAAGCCATGGCGAGTCGAGCAAATGATCCATATACATTCATAATGCGACAGAACAAACTGCCAATGAGTTTATTGACAGACCCAACAAAGGTGCGTGCTGAAGCAGATGGAAGGAGCCGCATTGGACATGCAACTGAGCATGTTGTTTTGTCTCAGGTGTCTCGGATGCAATTGCTCGAAACCGACTCATTCGCAAATACTTTTGGACCCAAGGCACAGCGAAAGAAGCCAAAGTTGAAGGCTGGATCTCTGGATGATTTAGCGGTCAATGTCTCGGATTCCCTAGGTACCAATAAAATGCAATGCGGTTCTCTCTGTGTTCCTTGCTTACGGCGGTATTTAGATGGTTATGACGCTGCAAAGGACGAAAATTTGTTAGCCAACGTTCGAACGGATGGAGCAATCGATGCAGCGAAGGACCCCTTCTTGCGAGCTGGGCAGTCAAGGCGTATTTGGAATGAGCTCTACAAGGTGAGAATTTCTGTCGTCTCAATAATGCGAATGGGGAGCTAAATAAAATGCTCATAGGTTTTGGACTCTTCCGATGTTGTGATTCACGTTCTGGATGCACGGGATCCCATGGGCACACGCTGCAAAAACGTTGAAAAGTATTTGAAGGAGGAGGCCAAACATAAGCATTTGATCTTTGTGCTCAACAAATGTGATCTAGTTCCTACGTGGGTAACGGTACGTAGGGACATTCGTGTTTAACTCTTTCCGCGAACTATTGGTAATCTTCGATGCGACCATTACAGGCAAAATGGGTCAAAATTCTCTCCCAAGAGTATCCCACATTGGCTTTCCATGCTAGCATCAACAACTCCTTCGGCAAGGGGTCATTAATTCAGCTACTCCGGCAATTCAGCAAACTACACGCGGACAAAAAGCAGATTTCTGTCGGGTTCTTTGGATACCCAAATACCGGAAAAAGCTCCATCATCAACACATTACGCCAAAAGAAAGTGTGTACCGTTGCGCCGATCCCAGGTGAAACCAAGGTATGACAAGTCAACTGCTTCCCACATTGCGGTACACCATGGCTGACTCGTTCCTCCAGGTCTGGCAATATATAACATTAATGAAACGTATCTATTTAATCGACTGTCCGGGAGTGGTACATCCGGGTCCGGAGGATTCGGAAACTGACATCGTCCTTCGAGGGGTTGTTCGAATTGAAAATATCAGCGGTCCAGAACACCATATACCTGCCGTTCTAGAAAGAGTACACCCTGAGTATATCCGTCGAACATATGATGTACGGGAATGGGAGGATCATATCGACTTTCTGAGTCAGGTTGCTAAGAACACTGGCAAGTTGCTGAAGGTGGGTAGTCATGATGTGGCTGCATGGAGATCCCTTGTTATGCAGCTGGTTCTAATGTCTTGTTATAGGGCGGGGAGCCAAATGTCCCGGCGGCAGCAAAGATGGTGTTGAATGACTGGCTTCGCGGAAAGATCCCTTACTACGCCATGCCACCTGATTCGGAAGAGCATGAAGCGCGTGAAAAGGCGGACGAACAGGTTCGTGCCGATATGACTTATGGTTCCTCAATAATCGTCTAATCGTCGTAATGACAACCTTGGGATCAGGCTGGACCGATTGTGCAACAAATCTTCTCCAAGATACCCGTCACTACCAAGTTCCTTCCTGATGATGCTAAGAGAGATGCAGGGGATGATGCCACAGCTCTGACAGATGGAGAGGAAGATGCAGTCAACGTTGAGACTGAGGCCAAAGGAGATGAAGAGAACCCGATCGAGAATGACACAGTAACAGATTGGGATGAAGTGTTTGAAAGTGTGGTTGGAGAGGATGGACCTGTAATTGAGCAGGATGACCTGGAAAGTCCTTCCGAGTCTGGCGAGCCTGATGTGGAAGGAGTCGCAGATGCAGAGGCAGAGGAGGAATCAGTTGAGAGCGACGCCGACGAGACCAGCACTCCAGAAGCCGTTCAGCCGGTGGACACCCGTACCCGCATGCGCCAAAGGCTCTTGAAAGCCAAGGGCCTACCCAAGTTCTCCGTAAAAGACGTTGGCACATCATCAAATAAAAGGCAGCACGAAGACTCCGATGACGACAGTGACAAGACGCGAGTCAAAAAGTCACCGCGGATGACGACCAACAAGAAAAAGGTTGGCGATCATTATTATGAGAGTGCCAATGTCAAGAATAAGAATCGGAATAAACAGAAGCCTATTGATCCGGCTACTTTGGCGAAAAAGTTGCAAGGAAAAGGCACACGCCGGCGATGAGTTTTATACGTGATAGATGGTTATTGTATATATTATTTATCGTTGTTTTTGCTTTGAATCTATAGCTGCAATATAGGAGTTGGTCTTTTGTCTTTGACCAGTTGGAAAGAATGAAAGCGTTATCAGTTTGCCCGATGCTTGACTGCAGCTTTTAAAAACGCCTTGAGTGGCAGGTCCTAAATAGTGTCAAGCGCAACCAAAGGTGCTGCGCATACTCCTCAGGAAGATGCGCAGTATTCATTGGTTCTTTCATGAACTCTCGATGGGGGACCCTCTAAGATGCCTAGGTACTGATGAGCGCAAAAGGGGATAAAGGAGATGACGCGCAGTCGTTTTTCCCTACATCTCGAGTACATACAGCCAAACCTGAACAAAACGAGAGGGTCGATGCGCGCGCTTCGAACATCACAAGAAGAACTACTAGCCACAAACTCGCCACGATATCCAATTTCGACCCCCACCCGCTCTCCCGATAATTAAGACAATATCAACGAAAGTTTATGAATGCTTATGGAATAAAAAAGGATCCCCCATCTTGGGCCAACTGCCGGCTTTCGCTTACACAAGTCGTGGTGCACTTTTGTTTCTACTCGTTTTGGTCGTACTTTCGGACAAGGACAAGAGATCAAAATCTGCTAGACTTGTCAAGGACGGATCTATCCTCATCGCAGCTTCTGCCCACCTGGGAGACTCTCTAGACGGAAAACGGAGCACAACCTAAACGTGATCGTTTACCAAGCTTCCAATTTACACACATTGGAAAACATCCGAGAGCGGAGTTTCCGACCGATTGAAACCGGGATCATTTCCAAATCTTTTTTCTTTTTTTGGTCAACCAGCGCTGTTTGGCACACTGGGGACTTGTTTGTCTTGTTTGTGCTGCGCGATCTCGCGACGTGAAAACTCCGGACAGCTTACTTTTCCCAACGCGCTTGGGGCGCAGCAGCCTTGTGTAAGTGTCAACGACGTTGTGCACGCAACCGTGATTACTCGTTCATCCCCATGCCTCAACTTATTCGACGGCTCTTCACCTCATTGTCATACAGTATTCGGAACTCATAACATCTGGCATCATCCCCCGGTGCGTATACCCTGCGTGATGCGATCCATCCCAACAAAACGATCAGCCGACAAGGCATCCCCAACGCCGGCAAGCCTGACCAGACGTGACGCGACAACGGGGCTCCCCGTCGTCAAGCCAAAGAGGGTTCAAGTAAAGAATGCGTGTGGTAGGTTCAATTCAATGTGTTTGCCGGCCAACAGCCGACATGGTATGGAGGTACTAACAACAGCACATTTCGATTGGATTCCAGTAAATTGTCAAAAGGCTTGCAAGAAGTGCGATGAAGCTCGTCCGTGTGCGCGATGTGTCAAGTTTGGAATTCAAGAAACTTGTCGAGACTCGGAACGGAAGGAGAGGAATAGAGGTTGGTGTTGCAGCAGATGATACCTTGCTTATACCTGCTTTGACGTGTTGGTTAACCCCACGCTCGATATTCTTCGTAGGCCTAAAACGAGGGGCTTATAAACGAAAGTCTTCAGAAGGTACGTTCCAACTTGCATCATCACCAAAACCTCTCCCATCTAATAATCTACCCATTACTGTAGTGTATGAGTCTCGCCTCCATTTTCATAAACATCACGACTCACACTATGAGAAGCAATCCAAACATCTTTTGCCACCAAGTAGCCTCAAAGCCTCGCTCTCTCAATCAACACCCACACCGCCACCACCCTTTTCCCAATCACCCCAACTAGCCATGGCGGCCGAATTCGATCCCCGAGCAGGAGGTCTCGTCACGCCGATTTTACCCGCATATCACCACATTTACATTACACCAGCGGGCCCCACAGACGTGGACTGTGTAGAGGATGACCTAGAATCCAGGTCACCCACTCCACCGAAAGACGACGAAGAGAAAGACTGGAACAAACTCCAAGTTCTTTCATCGCTTTGCAGTGCAGTACTAGGCAATAAGGGCAAGGAGCCCACGCAGGACCGCCATTTTGCCTCATCGTATCCGCTCAAGCACCCTCCTCCCATCCCAGATCTGCACCAAGATCCAGTCAGCCCTCCCCCTTTTGACTCGCTCCTTCCCCACCCATTCACAAACCTGTACAACTACACCTACCTCCCCTCGTATCCCCTCCACCACAACCATGACCTCCACCACCATCCTCTATCGCGTCTGACGCACTTGGACGACAACCTTTTTATAAAAACACATATGACTTCCCTCCACCACATGAGTTTCCTCCGTCGGCCGTGGGAGGTGAGTGAAGAGGGATATGATGAAGCCACCGTGTTGATGAACCGGTATACAGAGGTGGGAGAAGATGATCATGAGGAGGAAGGGGAGGACAATAGTGCAATCGAGCAGAAGGACGTCTGCAAACGAGAAGGGCTCAAGGTTATGGGCATGAACGCTTTTGCTAGTGGGAGAGGGTCAGGCCCAAGGGATGAGTGGACAATGGGATTTAATTTTTCGTAGGTTGTTGTCGTGTTTGAGGATCAAATAAAAAGTCTTAAGCCTGTTGGCCGTGTGAGTTTTCAAGAGCTTGAAATGAATGAAGGGATTACAAAGGCATGAATAACCTCCCTAGATTCCGTGATTTCTCTAGGTTCAGCAGGTATTGACTGCACCAGGGATGATCGCATACAAAGGTCAACGTGACACTCAAAGTGGCCTACTGCCTTTGTAACATCTGTTTGTGCTCACACTTCTTCATCGTATCCGATGAGCGCACGCACACATGTCTATTTTTTACGTGATCCTAAACCAGTTGCCCAACACCCCATCTATCCCCTAACTATACACAGACCCTCTAGGCAACGTGCGCCTACCTGGAACACCCTAAGCCTTTTCAATGTATCTGTCCCTTGATATCCACTCCCTTTCGCGATATAGCATCGAAAAGTCCTTGCAATACAGGCAAACTGCCTTTAGTGTCCACTGTACGCCCAACTTCCCCATTGACCCACTGAACACCCTGCTCCTTCAGCCACTTGGTACACGCTTTACGCCCTAGGCGAATCGCATCCACGTCGTTCTCTGACACATCGTCCGCATGAACGAATCCCAGTTCAGTCGCGATGTAGTCCAATGATATTCCAGGACGGTAGGCACGACATATTATTTTTAGTGCACGAATACGTTCCCTCTCGGCGAAATGATCCATAAGGTACGCCGATAGCCGGGGTGCTGCACCATACATCAAAAAGAATCGGTGATAGTCACCTATTGCAACGGCTGTTCGGACATTAAGGGCATGTTTGACAATTTCACCATTCTTCTGCTCGTCGGTCAGTTCCCCAAGAACCTTAACAAGTTCTTTAATTTTTAAGCAGTGTGAGATAAATCTCCAGACGTACGACGAATGGCGGAAGGAAATTAGTCCGCACCTGTTCTGTTGGACGTATGCACCAAGTATAAAATACGATAACCAGTAAACTCGTCTTGGCACCCGCGCAAGTTGAATATGTTATACAGCTGCATGAGCTGAGCCTGACATTGGTTGTACTCCCCAAGATCGCCCTAGAGGATAGGGATGGTGTCATAATTAGCCTCAAGCCTTGCGACAAAGGCCAGACTCAGAAAGCAAACCTTTTCAAGCGCTATTCGGGCATGCGTCTCATAAACAGCTACAGTAAACTCATTCTTAATTCGCTGGACCGTCAAATCCTGCCGTAGACTCTTAAACTGATCGCAAATAAAGGTGTAATTTTGCTCCTTTTTCCACTTTGAGATCAGCAGGTCCAATGTTTGCCGAAGGATGTGTAGCGGCCGTACAGATGCGGGATCCGGTGCCGAAGTGAGGCGAAGGTAGCGCTTCTCGAGATCCGTGCAAGTCCCCACAATTGTATACTCATCCCAATCAATCACATCGGGATTCCCTTCAGCACCAGCACGCAAAAATGCTTCCTTTGCTCGCTGTATTTCCCGTTGCTTTTCCAAATTCTTCCGCCGCTCCTCCTCTTCCCGAGCTTTAAAGCGCTCTTTTCGCTGCTGTCGTCTCTCAAGCTCCGCTTTGCGCAGCGACGGAGGAAGGCGGGCAAGCATCACATCTTCGTCGTCAGAAGATACATTGGATGAAGTAGAAACGGTTACGGTTGCCATTTTGGTGGACTGTCGTGATTCTGCTGGTGATTGTGGGATTTCCTTCCGCTTTTTTGATATGGAAGGGGACGCTGGGGGGGAAGGTGTGCTCACAATATTGATACGCTGCTTCGCTTTCGGCTCTGGCTGTTGACAATAGCTACAGACGTAGTTTTAGATCTGCCATTGCATGCATTCGAGGCAAGAAGGACTTTCCTACCTCGGCAACGCCATGTTTGTCCAGTCTGTGGTCCATATGACGTTATTTTGCATGGTCTGCACAATTAGATCCTTTATCTGCTTCTCAGCAATATCTCTCTTGTCCGCTGGACATGTGTCGAACACCTTGGTCACATACTCCCTGAAATCAAGAGAGCGACTGTAAATACCCATCGCCACGCTGAATACCAGTTAACCCAGGATGCATACTTTAAACTAGGAGGCCATTTATTTGGATCCTGAGACTCCTGCTTCGAGGACGATGCACGGGGTTTGCTGCTTGGCTCATCATCCTTTGACTGAGATACCAGAGGTGATTCTGCGAGGACTTTACGAGGTTTCACCGTGATATATGCAGGTTCTGCATTGAAAAGAAGAAATTAGGTAAACACAGCATCATACATCATCAGACAGATCTATTCTTACTTGCAGCGCCAAAAGCAGATGGTTTCGCGGCTGTGGTCGATGATCCTTTTACCACGTCGGCGTAGGCCATCTTTTGCGTCACAGCCGGTTGGGTAGAAGTAAAGGGTGCGGATGTGGAGGACGTGCTGGAGATCATATTTTGAGGAGGGTGTGCGGCTAGCGTTGAGCTTCTGACAACACAAGTCAGATGAAACCGAGTCAATAAAGCCGGTAGAGAAGATAACTTTAAAAGCAGTGTACTTACACTGTCGGCGCCGCCGCATACACTGTCGGGTGCTGTATACTGGAATGTTGTTGTTGCTGTTGTTGTTGCTGCTGCGGATTCTGCGCATACCACGCTGACCAATCGTAGCCGTGACTACCGTAGGCTGTTACCGAGGGTGTAGCATAGGCGTATTGGGGTGTATGTGTGTACGGTTGTTGATAGAATGGCGCTGCAGTTGAATATGATGGGGTTGAAGTGGAGACTCCTGGAGGAATCTCGACGGCTGTTTGCGATTGTTGGTAGTATTGTTGATTGTAATACTGTGCGTAGGCGGAAGCGTCTATGGCGTATCCAGCTGGCCTGAAATGACGAAGAAATGTGCAATTAGCTTAAAGCTCCAGGTCATAACCGTGTGAAGCATATATACATGTTTAGCTGAGCACAACATTGAGAGCATTAACCGGCAACAAAGCTCATGCCAGATCTCGCAAAGTCTCCTACAACAATGACGTACCAAGTCGTTTGACCATAAGCTACTGCCGTTCCAGGAGCCGCCTGTTGCTGCTGTTGGCCCAAAGGCGTTGTCTGAGCAGCGTAGGCGGACCCGTAATACTGGGACGGGTCGGAAGCCAGGATTGGATTGAACGAAGCAGGAAAAGTAATGCCAAGACACGATCCGGCAAACGTCCTGGTAACCCGAGTACGTGCGTTAAATATATACCGTTCCGTGGAGCACTTCTGATATGTCTCGAGAAGATGTACGAAGGTGGTCAAGGTGTTTGGAGCACCCGCGACAAAACCTCGGCCATTCAGGCGTGTGTAGTGGGAGTAGGTGTTGGATCGGCCCGCCTTGCCATGGCAACAAGGAGGGAGGGCCACTTGAAGAGCATCCAAGAAGCAAGATACTCAGAGTATAAGATACAGCTTTACATAACTCATAACTCATAAATCATAAATCATATGGTGGAGATGATGCTGGCATCCGGCAATCCTTGATAGTGGATTTCCTGTAACCGTACATATGCGCAACAGAGAGTGTTTAAAACCAATCCAAACAATGGATCCAGACTGTCCCTGGCCAAAAGCGTTCAAAGTACCGTTTATGCTGTGCATCAATGTTATGTAGCGCCGGCATCCCTGTAGACTCTCAGAATGATGCATTTTGCTCATATACTGATGTGCGAGAAAGCATAAGATTCCATTATAAACAAACCGCTTTAAAGCTATCCAATGTCTGCATGCTCTGGTGTCAGATCAGCTTGGAGGATAGTTGTCCGGTCAGTCCAACACAATGAGGAAGCCCAATAGTCTCCGCAGGTTCCTGGAAAATCTGCACATTCTGTAAAACTGCTGGAGAGAGGGACCCGCCGATTGGAGCTCCGATTGTAGGAGAGATTCTCGGCGTGGATATACGCAGCTAGGGATGTCCGGTTCACGAAAATGTTTTATCAACGGTCTACATTTGACAAGCCCGTACATGCCTTTTCAGGAGCCCACGAGCATCGTCTCTCAACTCCAGCTGGTGAAAGTGGTGTACCTTCCGGTGTGAACATGTCGAGAATCGTTCCTACAGCTGGTGGAGTGTTGGCGGTAGGCTCGAGCGGCCATCCAGACCAGTCCACCCATTGCTGGTCAGGACTGAATGGCGGCGATATTTCAGTGGGTGTTGGCGCGGGTGTCTGAATATGCAACCAGCAGTAAGAACCTTTCGACAAGCGTTTACAATCACCTAATATGTCATTACCGGAAAAAGATTAGACGCTACGTCGCAATCTCCTCCGCAATCACATGGAGTGGGAATATCGAGTGGCGGGGTGGGAACGTCAGCCGAGATGCAAACGTACTCGTCACAAAATGGCCTGCCTAGGAAACCTGCTCCCAGTTCAGCATCAAGGTGATATTCCTTGGATTCAGCCATTGTCCCGAAACCCGGGGATGCAAATATTGAAGCAGGCAGAGAATGCCGACGTTGATTTTGCGATATTGATGGAAGGATCGCTGTACTGTTCTCGATCAGGCTGATTTCATCATCCAGTTCATTCTCTACAATATCACACTCTTGGAACTCGTCCAACGCTTCCTTTACTTCTTCGCTAAGATCGGATTCATCGTCATCGTTCTCTTGGCTCAAAAACCAGTTCTTGACCATCAAGCCCGCTCCCAGCAAGCGGCGATTCACGGCTCGGAGCTCCCGAACAGTGTCCTCAAGATCACGGAGATGTTGTGACCGTTTGCGACGGAATGCTGCTTGTGCAAGTCTGTTGCGGTCTCGTCGTTCTTCTTCCGTGTAGAGACGGTGACGACCACCCTTACGGCGTAGCTGATTAGCTTCGATTTTTACTTGGCCGGGCATCCTTGTTGGCTGGCTGTGCATGAAATGATGGAAATAATATGTCCTCGCAAGTTCTTTTCAAAATGAGAGATTGCCAGCTATAGGGAGACGAGGGCTAATGCGTGGAAAGTCGAATTAATCCTCCACAACGGAAGACAAGTAGTCCAACCTAGGGTCCGACGATGACACAAATGTCTTGCACATACATTGGTCAGGGGCTTTTTGCATATGGTCTGTTACCTCTAGCGCCACAGTCCTCTGCAAGGGGGTTTGCATCCTTCACAGTACTTGCTTTTGTAGGTGCGAATTGCACGCCTATCTGGAGATGGTACGAAGATCCTTCCCAATGGGATCACCCAAACCCTTCAATTTGCCATTGCGTCGTTACTGGGAGTAAATTTGTGGAGATGCCGTGGGCCATCCATTCCCGGCAATGCGCACGAGCCATCTGTAAGATTCTCGCTATTCTGCCCCTGGGAGATGTCTCCACATGATGCCAAAGCCTTGGCGATGTCAAGCAATTACCTGGCCTTCCGCATGCATGTTGCGTAAGCTGTTCACCGCCCATTACAAAACAGGACCCCTGGCTGCACCGGTACAAGTAATCTCGCTCTACGTGGGCGGATTCAGGGTTACGGAGCAATTATCCACGAAAGAACGTTCCAAAGGGTTTTGATCGAACCTTACCAGTGCTGTCCGGTATGCACCAAATTACCTTTACCCATGGGATTGCCTCAAGTTACAGTGGTAAGGTGGAATGAAGGCTTTGATGCATATGACCAGGGCTTTGTGCGTAAGATTGCGTAATGGAAGGCTTACAGGACGGGGCGAGGGGGACCTAACAACCATCATCTGCAGGGTTGATATTGCTGACCTCCCCATTACTGACAGAACGCCATTTTATTATAGCTGCTGAGGGCTGCTTACTATGAAACACCATATTGGTTCTCCTCCACGGACGGGACAGCTGCTCCCAACCAACCTCATATGTCTTTTGAAATTATTAAACCTTACGGCAAAAGTAAAGTAATAGATAGTGAGTGCAAGGGAGATGTGACGTAGAAAGGTCGTGGCTAGTTTAAGTCAAACTCAGGGTTGCGATCTGCGGACCGCTCCCCCACGAAACCTTCCTCACCGGGTCTTGATCGAACGGGTGTCTTACCAAAGTTTTTTACTTAATCGTATCGCCTCATATGCCATCTCCTAGTAAAATTGACGTAAGAGTTCAGCGGGACAGGGATTACTATTTGGATTTTAAACCGTTTCCCATCATAAATCGGATTCCCCCCATCAACATCTCTTTTGTTGACACACGAATCACTTTAGTCAATTCCCGCAACAAATCCATGACGTGAGTGTGTATTTCCACCCCTTCTTTCCCAGAATAGCACACCTAATTGTCCATTGCTAGACTCGGATCCGCCGCCATTCGCCAGCCAGCGTTTACCTTCCTCATCGGGGTCACGCTTGCCTTTACCGCTTACGGTACGGTGGTCTGGTTACGTGGTGGGAAGGCACCCCCCGTCACGGAATTGGGGAAGTTGGAGCAGCAAGGCGAAGTTGGGTTGGCAGGGCCACCCAGGGTGAATTTAGGTCCACCTCTGCCAAGGGTAGGTATTGTCTTTGGAAATTATCGGATGTAAGGATCATCCTTACGTTACTTGGTCCATTACAGCGAAGTGCTGCCGCTGAGGGACCCCCGGACAAGGCTCGTAATCCCAATGCCTGAGAGCTCTTTCGATTCAGAGGCGGATGCATTTGGAATGAGAGGTTGAGATATATGATTACTATCTTGTTGCATTTTGAAATATCGAATGGCGGTATACCGACTCCACACTTTTATTGATTAGTGTAGAGGTGACAGAAACTGGCACTAGCTACTACACCAGGGAATGAACCAGCGTAAACTGGCTCGGAAAAGCTAACTAACTACTACTAGGCAATTATACACACAATACGTAACGGTTCTAAACCAGATAATTGCCCACCACCACACGCGGTCCCTAGTAGGCCTTGATCCAGAACCCTTGATGGCATTGAAGCCAGAGTCTTCACAACATTGGGGAGACTCGCAAGCTGGAGGATCTTCAGTGACAAGGCTTGGAGACTATAAAAAACTGCATGTCAGCGACAGAATAATATGAAAAGAGATGATGCCATTGGTACATACCAACCAAGCTCAACTAATGTGGCAGTATAATAGCAGCTTTGTTGGTTCCGAGTGATTGTTGCTGGTTCCAGTTGGTTGTAGTCATCGGGAGGGCGAGGTCCTCGGCACCACCACATCTGCATTCTCATGATTGGACTGAGTCGCGATGAGAGTTGCGCAGATGGTTTGAGAGTCAAGGACTGGTGAGCCGATCACGCAGCAATCATATCGCTTGTAAAGATGCCATCCATTTACATGGGTCCTTTTATGTCGCTACCCGGTCATCACAATGATCCACTGTCAGCAATCTGCATTATCTTTCATCAATCAAATTCCTCTTGACTTGCATGTAGATGGAAAGTTGTTGAAATACGCTTCCCCCCCGCAAATTGACCGGCATTGGTAGTATGCATCGTGGCTTCCTGTTGCATCGAGCGTCTCCATTCCTGCGATTCTTAAATTTGGTATCGCCACAAACGTATATGTGAGCAAGTAAACGCCTGTTGATGACAGCGGTGGGGACAAGTTGGCTGAGGCACGAGAAGCCAGAACTCCTGACAACCCCCGTTTTTTTCTGTTGCGTTTCGCAAAGACAAGACAACAACACGAACTACTCCGTTGTTGAATTATTATCTCTGCTGTGAGACAAATAAAAATGCACTCAGCAAGCTGGAATGATCACAATTCAAGTAATGTAATGATCATCAGTATTATATATTAAACAAAAACATTCAAATTACATGCCTCAGTAGCACAATCAGGTAGTGCACTCGCCTCCTAAACAGAGGTTAGTGAGAGGTTGCGGGTTCGAGTCCCGTCTGAGGTGCTTCGCGTTTTCGAAGGATTTTTTTTGTCGTTCTTCGTCTGCTTCTTGTCCGTCATTACCGCAGCAGTCGCTAAGTTAACCCCTTTCCAGAGAAATTTCAGAGAAGGCTCTTGATGATGGTTCACCTATAGAACATTCCTCTTTTTGCCATGCTCGACCTCCTCATGAAAAACGGACATGTCAAACAACTCGTGCAGAGTCCCAACCAGAATACAACAGTGGGTACCACCCTGCTCAAGAATCCTTAATATCTATTCTATTCTTTCACATGATATTCGCATTGTATACCAAAAGGTACCTTTGTGGGCTCAAAGAGAGACCATTCCAAAAAAAAAAAAGGAAGAGAAGAATGGGGGAAGGGCAGAATAGGCATTCCCCAGCAATAAAAAAAAGGAAAAAAAAGCCTGGGGAATCGTCAAAATGTATACAGAACCAAACCAAAAAAAAAAAGACGAAAGAGAATCACGGCCACATGCTCATCATGCCTTAACCTCAGTACTACTATTTCTCGTGTGACCTCCATCCAAGGGGTCTTGCTCTCCGTCGGTTTTCCCATTCCGCAACAATCGCTGTTCTTCCCTGATATCCTCGACAACAGCAGCAACCACTTGATCAATGGGGATAATGGTGGTAGATGCCGGTGCGGATGATAGCTTGGTGGGTTTGGCTGCCGACCCAGGAGCGAGGGGCTCGGCTGCAGCGGCAACAGTACTCACTACTAAATGTCCAAAATGTTTGGCAATTTTTTCCTGAAGTTCGAGGGCCTTGAAAGGCTTGGCCAGCCAGTCGTGCATGCCGGCTTGTTCGCACTTGGCTCGATCGTCCGTTGTTGCAGAGGCGGTGAGTGCTATTATAACTATGGATGGTGGCGCGCGGGATACTGTCCGCGATGACGTGCTGGTTGAGATAGGAAGTGATGGTAAAGGTGGCGTCTTACAGCGAGCCAACAGCTCTCGTGTTGTTGCCAAACCATCCAGATAGGGCATGCATATATCCATTCTGTGTAAAAAGAGGAAGTCAGTCAGCAATGACTCTCTCAATCACACAGCAAAGTCGAACATGGAAAACTTACAGTATCAAATCGTAATGCTTCCCTTCATCAAAGATCTTTTGCAGCACTTCTCGTCCATTCCATGCAATGTCTGCTTCATACCCCATTTTCTTCAAGACACTCAAAGCAATTTGTTGGTTGACTACAGGAGCCGATATCAGAGTAATGCCCAGAAACGAGTTTGTGCAACCATGACAACCACAAACCATACTCACTAGCATTATCCTCAGCCACCAATATTTTGATCGGATACATCTTGGCCAAATCTCGGTTGATCCGTGCATTGCGCCGAGTCCTGGTCATTGCCTGGTCTCCTACCACAGTCGAGTCCTCCAGCTCTGTCGCGCGTGCTTCTGGGAGAGGCGGCAATGCTGTCACCACTGATTCTGCGCTCCCGATTTCGCTGACACCATGGTGAAGGCCAGATGCTCCTGTTGCACCGGGAGGTGCAGGTTTGACACCAATGCAAAATGCAAATTTGCTCCCGACGCCCTCTGAGCTCTCAACCCAAATATGTCCACCCATCATCTGCACGAGACGAGATGAGATGGCAAGTCCGAGTCCCGTCCCAACGCCAGAACCCCGCGTGACTTCATTGTCGATTTGCGAGAACGGGATGAAAAGCCGGTTGATTTTGGAACGTGGAATACCAATACCTTTTGGTACACGAACAGTCAATGGTCAAATCTGATCACCTCGAGCGCACAAAGGCAGTTAAGGAGAACATTGACACTCACCAGTGTCCACGACGGTAAACAATAGTGACACTCTCTCGTCAGCTGCCTTCATATCCTGTTCCTGTTGCGGGTCCTGCTTCGAATCGATAACTGTGCTCATAGTCCCAGCCGACGCAGCATAATTAGAGCGAATGCCGGCAATAGAGGACCGCCGATCCAGCGTTTGCGGAGGAGTGGGTATATGCCGCCCTTCAAACGTAGGAGAACCGCTCAGTGTCACCGCCTGCTCCTCGCCATCTTCTGATCCAGAAGGACCAAAGAGCGGGCTATCCGCTGTAAAGTTGTTGGCAAGGGGAGACGATGGAAGTTTTGTCACATTAAGAGTCACAGCACCGCGATTCGTAAACTGTAATGCATGCATATTGTCAGTGTTTATAGCCCCAACAGGAGCAATCTGTGCCCAGGTACCTTTAATGCGTTGGATAGGAGGTTCATGACGATTTGTCGCAGTCGCGTCGTGTCCCCTACTATCATGTCAGGAACAGATGGATCAACGTCCCAACGCAGCAACAGAGCGGGTGCTGCTCCCTCGACGGGTTCCACAGGCTTGAACATGATCGGAGTAGTATTTGCTGCATGCCCCTCCACAACAGTTATTCTTTTTTTCGATAGACTTGGTGACATGCTTGCGAGGTGAACCGCCTCCTTCAGACATCGTCGCAGCGACATGGGACGGTCCTGTAGGACAAACTTGAGATCCTCATCCCCAATCTTTGACAAGTCTAGAATGTCGTTGATAACAGCTAGCAAATGTTCGCCGCTTGAGTTTATCAGTTCAAGTCGGTTTCTTTGTTCGTCTTTCAAATCATTTGAATCCCAAAGAATCATATCTGTGAGCCCTATGATGGCAGAAACCGGCGTTCTTATCTCGTGACTCATGTTTGCCAGGAAATGCGTTTTGGATTTCGTTGCTGCTTGCGCAGCTGCGGATTCAATTTTGAGGTGACGTAGTTCCGTTGAGCGCTCGAGTTCCTTGCTCACTCTGCATCCAACCTCTTTCAAGACGCCAGCAGCGAGCGGGGTTGATGCAGACTCTGGCGCCATGGCATGCAGATGGAGCGAGTTCTGTACGTTTGTTCCTACGCCCAAGATGCCTATTGTGCGACCACTCGCATTTTTGAGAGCTAATAGACAGCAGGATTCGAGGTTTGCATCGGGAAATGCTTTTAAGGTGGAAGTTGGGATGATAGATGCCAATTGGGAAGGGATAACAATCGGGTCTCCTTGGTCTAGGTGAGCAAAGATGTCTTTGGGGATTGGGAACACCGTTGCTGATGTATTTCGAACACTGCAAGATTGACGAGCGATGAGTAAAGAGTGGATTACACAAATGCGTTTCGCTCTGCCATTTGTAACAAAGTCCTTAGAGCATCGCCGACATGTTCGCCACTGTAGGATATCCCCACAGCGTCCTGACAAGCTCGCATGATAAGGCACGCTAATATGACGAGAATCCCCTCCGAACTGCGGATGTCTTGCCAATCCTTTTTTTCAGCGCGTCGCACTGCTTTTCCTCCCTTGGAGCTACACCATGTTTCGCGACTTGGCACTCTTCTGACGATAATAGATTCCCACACTCAACTGCGCACTCTTCAGTCGCTTACCGTTCTTGGGAATAAGAAGCGATGAGAGAAAACCCCACATCTCTACTATTGCACGGTCTTTTTCCAACTTTGCATTCGTCTCTTGTTGAATCTAACTGTGGTGTCGTCTCATCGTCCTCCTCCGCCAACTGCCCGACAAAAGCAACCACTACGCCCAAACACTCGCAAAGCGTCTCTGCAAGTTCCTGAAAATAGGCCTGTCCAGTGTAGGAGTACGTTCTCAGTTTGATGTGGCTGACAAGCGAGTTGTCCACCTCGTCCAAGCGGTGAATGGGAAGCGATGAAGATCCGGGCATTTTGCACCAATGCCAGTGTGATGAAGGGAAAACGATGCAAAAGGGAAGCCCAGCGTCTCTTCCCTCACTTGCCTTCCACGTGATTTCCGGTGGAACGGCCACCTCCTGTCGTCCTCGCCGTCCCAACAACCGATCTGCGTCATTCCCATAAAGTGGGACCAAAAAGCGTCTTTTTGAATCAAAGGGAAATGTCGTCATTTTCATGGATGGAGAATTTTACATTTATTTACCCGCATTTTGGATATCACTATAACCATATTTGGATTAAACTCACTTACAGCTACAACATGCTATGTCACCCACACTGGATTATGTAATTGTTCATATTTCCATTTATGGCTAAATGAACAAGGGTGGGAAACAAACGTCGATGGGACGACAACGAAAACGACGACGGGGCCATTGGCGATTGGCAAGCAAGTTTATTAAACAAGGAAGCAGAACAGAAAATACATTTGCTCTCAAAAAGCACACACAGCAGCAGCATCGTTGTGTACACTACAGGCCTCTCATGAATCCACCACTCGGGAGCGACATGGGCATGGGCACACGCCTTCTTTCCTCTGCAGCATGCCACGACGGCTGCTGTCTCTCCCGATGCATCGACTCCTCGTCAAGTGGATCATGTGAACCCATAGGAGGAGACACACACTCAATGCTTGTGGCTGAACCCTTTTTGCGAAACAGGTTTGTGGCCGATCGGTGGGTTCGCGTGTCTTTGCTGCCGGATGAGATGGTGCCGTAATGACTACTAGACGACGATGAGCCATGTACCGGACTAAGGGGATGACTTCCAAGTGTCAGATTATCCCCAGATTTGGAATGGGAGTGCTTGGAAGAGTCTCGTCCTGTGAGAATGTTGCGGAGAGTTGTTCCAACCTTGTTGGTTCGCGCCAAAAACCCATAACCCTTCTTGGTCGGGGACTTTGCTGGTTTGGTAGGAGATTTGGGTGTTTCTTGTTGACTAGCTGGAGTAGGAGGTGCTGCAGCCGGCTGCTCTTTGTTAGTAGGTGGCGGTGGTGGGGTAGTCGTTATCCGTGGTATTGTCCCAGGAGTTGTCACGGTTGGGGGACGTTGAGAACGTTGAGTAGTAGAAAGTGGCGTAGGCACCACCATTGGGGACGGAGCATTCATATGCTCAGGTTGGGCGCGAACAGACCCGACAGGAGTCCCTACGTCACTTCCAATACTACCTTCACGTCGTGACCCTACCATGCGCCCCCAGCTGATTCTCCTCTTTTGTTTCTCCTCTTGAGGGGTAACTAAAGGGCTCATGGGTGCCAAAACAAAGGCGTCTTCATCGTCATCATCCACAGCGGCAATGGCATTAGACAAGAGTCCGTCCTGCATACTGAATGGGTACATTGTCGCCTGTGCCGCATTCGATGACACGGGTCCCGAGGAATTGGTGCTTCCGCTGCCAAGCCCGCGGACGAAATCTTTAATGTGGTCCACGGCTTGTGGGGTACCCACAATGGCTTTGGGTTTGCGCAGCGGGCTGGGACGTGACTGGTTGCGAGCAGAGTCGGGTATCGGTGGGATCGGAGGTGCAGGTGGGATGTGTCCAATGTCAAAATGTCCCGCCATTGACATGGGCGACGGGGCGACGAGAGTTGGCGCAGCAGAGCCAATGTGTGTTGGTATCATTCGTAACGCTAATTGTGTCGATGGGACAGGTGCTTGCGGTGGTGGTGGCGGTGCCAATTGGCCTGAACCGAGTTGGCCTGAACCGAGTTGGCCTGACCCGAGTTGGCCAGAATCGAGAGCATCTGGCATTGATCCTTCATTCCCGCCACTCCCTCGTCGCTTTGCCTCATCGTCGAACACTGGAGGTTCTCCGTATACGCTCAGCCCTCTTGACCTGGTGTAGGCTTCAAACGCAGGGTCGGCTTCCTCCGCCAGCGTTGTGGCAGTGACAGGTGGCAACACTGGTACCAATTCACTTTCCCCATTGGGTCCCCGCTGGCTTGCCTGCTCTTGGGCAGCAACATTGAGTTTTTCCATGATCGGAATCAAACTTGTTAACTTTGCTTTCTTTTCCACATCTTCTGGGGTGGCCAATGCCTCGATGCTCGCTTTAATGTCATCCCATTTTTCGCTAATGCATTGGTGCAATACAGCGCTTTCTCTCCTGAGATCAACTCGAGGTTTAGGACAGGGCGGTCGACCCATTCCATCAGGTGGTGTTGAGACCTGCTCAATAAACCCTTTCATGGCGTCGACATGTGTCGCAATCCAGTTGTTGCACGGCGCCATGTGGGGCTCCTTTCCCTCGAATTCGCTCAAATTGGCCAGATTTTGCAGAATCTTTGCAATTAGAGTCAATGTTCGTGCTGTAGATGCATCGGGGTGATCATTCATAATTCCAAACAGCTTGGGAGACAAAATAGCCGGACAAAAGAACCGAAGAAAGATGAATCCGCTCACAGCAGCATACTTGATTTTGGGTTCTGAAAACTTTGTGCCGGCAGTTTGGGCCATGTCCGAAAAGACAGCAACCAGCTCGATGGGACAATTGTTAGCGGAGCGTTGAATGGCTTCCCAAAAGATCGTGACGTGATTTAGGAGGCGCTTCCAATTCCGTTTCAGTAGCTCGGTTTCTTTGCCTTGTGGAAGACGAGCAGGATCGACCTCGCAGCTCTCTTTCGAAGTGTAGACACCGCGGATGAGGGATTGAAGCGTCTGATGGAGATATTCTTGACCAACCAACTTCATATACTGATCGAGTAGTTTGGTGGCGACAGAATTACCCCGGAAAATGATGTTTGGGTCATCTGCCAGCATAAAACGAGATGAGCACGATTGTGACATCCAAGCGCTAGATTGAAATACTCACCTGTAGCTACAATCTCGTCCTTTGTCAAACACTTGACGCCCTCCACATCTCTATTATGCGCAATCAGAATGTTTAAAACAGTTTTGGCAAACTCCTCTCTTTGCTGCGTTAATATCCCTCCCAAGAACCTGACACATGTCAAACTGGGTTCTGTTACAATCTGCAAAAACTCTTCGTAAAGGGCAATGGGCAGAGATTGGTCATTGGAAAGGATGTAAGCGATTCGAACGGCTCCCACGGGAGAGTTTGCGTTGTCGCTGGCTCGTGCGAATGGGCGGATTTGGTACCATTCTTCGACCTTTTTGCCAGTCTTGAGGGTGGAGAGGTTGATACTCACGTAACCTAGAATAAGTAGCAAACGGTTTAGCTGTTCCGACAAGTGGATATCGACAATGAACAAGGCCGAAACTCACCAATTTCGGAATCCTTTTGCAGCTTCATTGTAGCGCCGTTGAAGAAGAGTAATCTCAGCCTCGATCGACAGGGCGGAATGTCGCTGAACCGAAACTCCTCTCCCCAGAAAGGACTCTCCTCATTCCGTATCCCCGTCCTCGCCTGTTTCACATCGTTGAATAGAACAACACAATAGGGATTGATGCTCTTTACAAGTCCCGTGCTGCTCGATTTGAGATCCTTGGCTTCCATTACCCACAGCCGCATGGACCGGACGTTGGTTCCGTCTTGTTTGGGTGATTCCACACCGTTGAGGCTTTTACCGTAGACTGCAGCACATTTAGGACAGCATGAGCAGAATTTGCGAAACGTCTGCATCCATTCATGCTTGTCATTGGCGGATTCTGCAATCAGGTTGTAGGTTATTCGGCCACTAGTGGAAGTCGCACCCTCCTCGCTCCAGTCCAAAATCAACTGAAAACAGTTCGCTCGGCCAAAGTAACTGTCGTCAAGAGACCACACCTGTCCCCTTGACAGCGTCACTACCTCTCTAGGTGACTCGGAATCTTCGTGATCGAAACAGTATAATATCCCATCGTCCATTATGACAAAGTAATTGGTTGTCCAGCCACTGACTGTGTCCCCTCGTTTAATGTACACTCGCCCAGCCTTGAGCGGGTTCAATAAACTTCGAACTGAAACAGTGTTGAAATCCACCCGTTCTGCTCTGCCTATGTGGTTTTGTTCAAATATAACAATATCCTTTTGGGTGTCGATACTGGACATGAGGTCTTGGACAGAGCGAAGGACGGCGCCGCGGGACTCAATGTCAATGCAGTCTAGAGAGGCAACATCGTTCATAGCTTTTCGTATGAGAGAGAGCCGCTTTTCTTCGTACATTCTGACTTCCTGTATATGACGATATCAAATGAGCACGGTAAATTGAAACCAGAAACAGACGCAATGACTTACGTTTTCCAACGCAGGCATCATTTGTTCATAATAAACCTGCTGTGCTGTTGAGCGCTTTTCCTCTGATTTTCTTAATCCCTCCGCGGCAACCGATACTCGCTCAATAGCCCCTGCAGCCTTGATTTGCAGCTTCTCCAAATCCCTCTTTTTATCCGCCCTCAACTGAGCCTTACTCAAACTATCCACCATTTCGCTCGCCGCTGTCTGAGCGCTATCATACTCTTGTTTTGCCCGCCGAAAGTCGGTGTATGTGTCTTGCAATTGTCTCGTCAGTGCTCTACCCTGGTCAAGGTGTGCTTTGCGCATGGCCTCCATCTCCCGGATATGTCCTTGCATTGGGTCAATCACTGTGCGTTGTAGCTGGTTGGCCACTTGTATGTGAGCTTCCGCGAGAGAGTTCAGTTGGTCAGCTGCATCAAAGACGGCAGTCCATAAGCTCATGCTCAAGAGTTGGGATCGAACTGAGGTAGGGGCACCGGGGGATTGGTGGACTGATGCTGTGTAAGAATGTGGCCGCATGCCTTCCCAGGCCGATCGGTGGTAGCCTTGACATAGCTCCGCTGGAGTAACAGCCATACCGTTAGTACCAAAAAGTCGGAACTGCTGGATATGACAGACTCACCAAGCGCCATCCCATACTCTTGCTCGATCTCCTGTCTCCTTCTCCAGAATCCCACCAACTCCCGACACTGTCGGGTAGACTCCTCCGTAAACCCTGCAATCGTCGAAAGCGGCATGATCCACTAACGAAAACCAACCAAAATCCAATAATTAAAGATATAGTACTACTGAATACCAAAGGTTACAGAAGAAGCTCTAAACGGGTTCCAAATCCTCTGCATTCGGCCCGGACTTCTCCCTCAAAAAGAACCTTCTGCGCAGTGTTACAAGAGCAGGGGAAAAATATAATTAGACCCCTAAATCACTAGAGTTAGTGGCTCACGCTTAACCAGACCAAACAGCTATTCCAGCAGGGTCCCTATTCATGTGGTCAATTCGTTCATGAATGAGTTGCCAATGTCCGACACCAGATCAATCTAAAAATAGCTTTGAGGTAGTGTGATCAACTTCTGGATTTTATCCCACTCATATATGTAACTGGCCCGGAGATACTGGATTCCCGGTTCTGACCAATTACATGGTTTGCTGCTTCAAGCAAGGTTACGTTAAAGATCAATGCATGGCAGCGCGGTATTTACATGAAATGCATCGAGGTGCAGTGGGTGCACATCCGTATCGTGGGGACCTATTGGAGACTATCCATTCAGGGCTTTGTATTCCTCATGCGGATCTATGTGTTTGTCAACCGCTTTAATCCCTAATAATTCGTAACGTACACTCAAGAGGATTACAGATAAACTAGACCACGGGTACGATCCACGTTGATGAAGCAGAAGTGCGTGGCCGCATTTCGACTGTGGTCAAAGCGGTAATGAAATATAACCTTCTGGAACCCAAAGTTTTTCTAACGTTGTCATTTACTCAAAATTCCTGTCAGGAGTGCTAAGTTTAATCTTCCACCATGAAATCAAGATGCTACATCATTGCTTCCTTTGGCTAGCACTTCCAGTCTGACAGAGTGACAGTCAACTAATTTCTCCTGGAAAGAGCCAATCTGCCCGGACGATTGCAAGCTCACATTAAATTGTTGCTAATTTATCTAGTACATTCTGGAAATGCTTCATACAGTGTGCACGCCATCCCGTATACTTTGACAGTATGCCAAAGGTTGGAAACACATACAATATCAGTCATTTCTGGCTGTTACGACGATAGGACTTCAAAAACATCGACAGATTGATCAGCAGAAATCCTGAAGAGCAAGTCCAATCTGAGTGGGCCAAACGTGAGGTCAAACTCACCTTGTCACGCCAATTAGTAAGCAATGACGCGCGACCAACGAGATCAAGCCACGTTTCAATCACGCAAGACTGCTCACAACTTTTGAACAAACGTATAAATACGATAGGTCACTTTTCAAGATCTACTGCCATATTTTGACGCACTTTGCACCCAACACAAAACAACAACAACGAAATGCCTCGCAGAAGCGGTGGTGGAAGCGGCGGTCGGGGCGGTTCTGCTCCCAGAACCTCGACACCACCAGCAGCTCCCCGGAACAGATCTTACTCTTCTGCGCCCCCTGTTAACCCTTCTCGATCAGCACCTCCTCCCCAGCAGCCACGCGGAGATTCCATGTTGGGTCGTTTTGCCAGCACGGCTGCGGGAGTAGCTGTAGGAAGTGCAGTTGTGAGTGTCTTGATTACCGTTCATGTTATGTTCATAGAGTGCAACAGTTATGAACTAATGGATGTTCATGCCATTATAGGGCCACACTCTTGTTTCCATGTTTGGCGGCCTGTTTCCACGATCCGCACACGATCAAATCGCGCAACAGAATGAAACCCTGCCACCCGATCAGCAACAAGCGGTAGCTCAGGCCTCTCTCTCACAACGCCTATTGGGGACTGCAACTCTTTGGGGTGTTGGTGGAGGTGCATGGTGGTATAGAAACAGACTGCTTGCACAGACTCGGAACACGAGGGCGGCAGGTCCGAGAGTGGCAGCGGTTGTGGCAGCTGGTACGTATCATTGAGGTTTGCGTTTACAAAGCGCACTGCTTTGAACTTACAATTATTTGTAGGATCCGGTATCTTGGGATTGGTAAATCTGGTCAGCTAGAAGAGAATTGGATGATGCTGTTCATGTTTGTTTGTGATGACGTAAAATGACTTTGTCCGAAAGAGATGTCCGATTAATTGGTTCGATCCACTATACAAGCTTTGTCAGAGCTGTCAAATCATTGCACCTCCACCTTGTAGCTTATTTGCCCATTTGCCATCTGACAGGCCCAAGTCATCCTGGGGAGGCGGTTCGCTCGTCCCTTGCTCTCCGCTCAGCGGGTGAAGTGCTATTCTCAGTAGAAGTTGTGACATGACCGGTTCTCCACTGTTTCTAGTCTCTTCACCTGCTATCTATGTCCGAGATCAGTGACACCTAAGAGCAACTTATTCCAATTTCTCTTTGCCATCGGTAGGCAGTAGGCTGTAAGTTTGCACATTCCTTCATTGAAGTTGTTCAGCTATGAATTGCGATAGCTTTTATGTGTATCATACTGATCTCTTCGAATGTGATCAGGAGGCTTCACATACCTGAACGTATCTCCCATCTTCGTACATACCCCAGACTTTTTTTACATATCTCCAGTTGCTATGCTCTGGATCTCAATTGGAGACGTGCAGATATGACCCCCTTGTCGGATATCCAAATGGAAACAGTGCCGAAAACTCCAGAAGAAGCGCACGCTGTAGCAGAATTTTATCGGCAAAAGTACGAACAGTCCTTGAAATTAGCCAGATCACTGAGCACGACTGTGAAAACCGCAGGTACGCGGCCATTCCAAGTTCATGACGAACCAATATCTGGGATCGCTGATGAACCACGATATGCAGCTCCGATCCGTAGTCCTCAGCAAGCACTCCTTCCTGCGGAAGCAGGAATTAGCGCTGAAGCATCACGTCAATACAATGGAAGTCCCTCTCAACAGGCCACAGTAACTGGTACTGCCGGGTCTCCCGCTTCCGCTGGGCCTGGCAAAGATGCGGTCCCGTTGACACAGTCAAGTTGGACGTATCCGTCGTCCCGAACACCTTCGCAGCCTACTACTTCAGCTTCATTCCCGGGGAAGACGCTTTCAAATGCAATCATCAACAGCGCTGCCCCCATCCAAATACATCCCTCACAGAAAACTTCACCAGCTGGCAAGAATGCTGACATGCAAAACGCACCTGCGTCTTCGCAAGCTGCTATCGTAGAGCCCGCATGTTATGCAATTTTGCCATCGTTGTACCCTTCAAAACCTATTCCGCACTGTGTACATGGGAGTGTCGAACACATGGCAGCATTCACTGCTAGTATATCGGAACAGCCCCCTGGATCTGCTCGTAGGGTGCCCTCGTCGGATGTGCTGGTCGATTCTATTAGTCCAGATCTCACTACGCAGGACGCCGGTACTGCGTTTCTTGGTTCACACCTGCCGCTGGTAACGAAGGCCCATAGATGGCAGAGCTTGTCGGGAAATGACTCGACGGTCACCGATGCAGGATCAGCCAGTCGTGAGGATTCCATGAAAACCATACCTCAACCGGATCCCCAGCAAATGCCAGCGCCCCAAACAAGTCAAGCCACGATGCAGCATACCAGCCAATCTCAACAAGCTTCCTTTCCTGCAATGGCGCGGCAAACACATTTGCAGGGATACTTGATCTCAAACAATATTGCAGCTGGCATGCATTTCGCGAATGCACCGCATTCAGGAGAGGGCGGCATTCAAACAAATGTCCAATCATGGACTTCTCTGGCTCCCGGCCGTTCACCTCAAGTACACATTCCATCTGCGAGCGGGCAATTTCCGAATGCTTTGAATCAGCAATCACATTTCATTGGACTTACTTGCGTGCAAGGATCGGGAAGTATTGCTCCAATTTGGTACCCCGTAAATTTGGTACATGCGCAAGGCATGGCTCACCTTCCCCAAGCAATGCTGGCAAACCCAACCGTGACGCCAACACCCGACCGTAGTGCAGCATTTGCGTCTGTTACACATGCGCAGCTAAAGGCTTCGCAATCCAGTGTAAGGCAACTGCGCCCTGCAGACCTCAGTACATCGGGATCTCTTAAGCTGGCAGCACAAACATATCAATCGCAGCATACGCCTCCAGCAGTCAGTAACACTCGGGACACTGCTGGCGCTGCCACAGGTCAAGTTCGGCCAACGTCATCGGGGACTGTGGCTGATACAACTTCGTCAGGAACGCGTCCAAATCATTACCAACAGCAGCAAGTCGCCAGAGGCTTGTATGAAGGAACCTCATCGGGTTCAAGTACATCACACGTGAATGATAACGGCAATTCACGGCAAAGATGCTCGACGGGCGGGAAATCTTTTGAGAAAATCGTAAAGCGGGCTGCCCATGTACACCAGCAAGAAAGCCAGCTTAGAGAAATGTACGACGATCTTGTTACAAAGGAGCGAAAATTGCATGAAGAGTTGCATCAAGCTAGATATAGGCGGTTGGAAATGGAAGGTCGAATAATGCCTCAACAGCCCAAGTCAATCCAACAGCGAATTGAACCTCGAACGGATCCGCAAGGCACCGCAAGCGCAAGGTCCCAACAGCAAGCAGCTACGCAAAAGAGTCATAAGAACCAGCCACCAGTAATACATTCGCAGCAACCGGTGTCAAGAACGCCGCAGAAGGTTCGTATGCAGACTGTTCAGTCGCAGAATACCCCTACTGTCACGACACAAACGTATCAGGGCGAAACACAAGTCAGTCCCCCTCAGAACCCCCCGAACAGTACTTTTCAGCACAATCCAGGCCCACTTCAAGTTCAACAACCACTGGGTGCGCCTTCAACTCAACAACATCAGGACTACTTAAAAGAATGGACCGGATATCGACGTCGTTACGCGCAATTGGCCAGTGAAGTGACGGGATTTTTGGCAAGGAAGCGGCCCGACTTTATAACACCAGCATCTGTGATTCGATGGTTACGTGAACTGGGCAAGCTTCTAGAAGGCGTAGAATCGTATTCGATAGCGACGAAAGAGCTAGCATGGTTCTGCAGTGTTGAGAATGCTTATTCCTGGATGTATGCTCCGTATCTGAAGGCTGACTTAATGGTGAGGCTTGATAGTGTGTTGCTTACTTCGTCTAGTGGCTTAATGGAACGTCCTTTTACATTCTTAGGGGTGCTTTCGAGGATTGAAGTTGCCCGTATATTTTGCACAAGTCTATCACGTCTTCACAGTCGCCTCACAGTTCTCACATCTGATGCTTCCGGAATTACTGGGTACGTATCTGGCTTGCGCCTTCCTTTTATGTCAGTTTTAGAAGCATGTTTCTCATTCTCGGTCGCGTGCTTGCTTTTCAAGACGTTGTCATGAACGGGCTCACGATTCTCAAACAGCTCGAGCGTGTCAGGGTATTAGATCCAGATATCACCCCATGGAGCTCGAATTTTAAAGCCAAATATCTTGCTGTGATGGAACTGCGTCTGCGTCAGATTTCGAAGCATGCATCGACCAACGGCTGTGAATCGTCGATTCAGAAAGGTGTGCAGCATCCTCAAACACAACCAAATCTCGGTGAAGCACCGGTCGTTAGCGTCGAGGATGCTACGCCAAAATTTTCGGAACTTTTCCCGATACGAAAATGTTACTTGCGGCATCCTATCGAAATTACACCCAAGACAACTTGCTTGTCATTTCTGATCACAGTAACCTCAAGTCTCTATACCATTATCCGTATGCAGGATGCAAAGTCTGGTCCCCCTCGTCACTATGTGCGGATAAGTTGTAATCGATCGGAGGACACGATAGAGACTTGGCCATCATTTGTATCTGGAGTTACCTGCAACGACGTGCTTATGGTATCAGATCGTAAAAGATGTGACGGACCAATCGTTTTGAATGCTGCCCTCGTTGCAGGTAGTAATAAGATTGCGCTTACTTGTGACTGGGATGGAATTGACGAACAGACGAGGATGGTTGCGGTTGACTATATTGTTTTTGTGGACATGGACGAAGCAATACAGGTAGTAAAGAAGCAGAGAATTGATTTCAAGACGAGCTGGGATAGATGTGAGTGCGTGCGCCATTGCGGACAGATTACATCCAGCTGAAGTGTTGCCTGTGTTTCCCTTAGATCTTCAGTCGCGAACCCAGACCCATGGCGATAGCCCTACTGCTCTCTTAGACCTTGTCGATCCTACAACACGGAAGAAATTGGAAATTCCTGTTCGAACGTCAGGATGCGCACATGTAGCAGTAAGTTGTTTTTTGCTGTTGTTTAGCTCGGTGCCGGTCTTTTGTTAAGTGACATGATCTCCAACAACCAGTGCTTCGACCTGCAAACGTATCTCAAGGAGCAACTCAAGCATCGCAAGTTTACATGTCCGATTTGTCATCTCGCGGCTGGTGTCCAAGACTTGCTCGTGGACGGCTGGATTGAAGCGCTCTTGAGCAAAACGGAGCCGGATGAGACGAATGTACTGTTGAAGTTCCCTGCCATGTCTAGTACAACCAACGAGGAACTCCCTCATTCAGGCGCCAACGGTGATAGTAATGCCCGCAATAATACCGACGCGTTGCTTTTAGCGGACGATGCACCGGATGTCATAGAGCTTCGAATCCCACCGATCCAGCGAGTGGACAGAAAATATATACTGGTCGACACACCGTCGCCCGTGCTCACAGCGAGGAGTGGGGAGATGATGGAGGATGTGGAGCTGCTGCCGAATGTGGACGGTAGCGAAGATGGCGCGGCGTCACCAGCAAAGGATGCAGAAGAATCTCTCACGGAGATGATAGTGGATGTCGAAAACTCTGGTATGGAAGTGGATGAAGGTGACAAGACTATTCAGATTGCAGACGCAAGCGTTGATCCGTCTCCCGGAATGGAAATGGAGGACAGTCGGGCAACCGAGGACACGAGAGGCGAGGCTGAGGAGCTGCCAAATAATGATTTAGAGCACCGTGTGGCGGAGGAATTGGCCAACTTACAAGTATACGACCGCGTGCCTGATAAGGTGACAGTAGCTGAGGACAATGCCCAGGGAACGGCAGTCCAGGAGGTAGAAATCACAGCGCCGGAGACGATGGGGGACCGGATCCTGGACGCCGTAGTGGTGGCAGCAGAGCCGCAATCCAGCAACGGACTGATGCAAAGCGGTGCTGGAAAGTTACCGGAAACTACTTTCCAAAAAACCCTCCAAGAAGTTTTAGAAGACGACGAAGATATTGAGCTCATGTCAGGTAGCATCTTAACTCTGCAACCTCAGACTGTCAAGCGCCCCATGTCCCCCCATATCCCGGTTACCGAGGTCCGTTCTCATCCCGTCAAGCGCCAGAAGCTCAGTTTTCTCCCGCCTCGCAAACTGACCTTTGCCCAATCCATAACAACATTCAATCCCGAGGAAGATGCCGCACAGATTGTGCAAAGGCTGGGATTCGATGTCGCAACAATGTACCATAAGATTTTCCATACTGTGTGAATATTCGGTAGATTCAACGTTGGTCGTGTTTGGAAATACGAGAAGCCGGCCCATCGTTTGCTTTAATTTAAATGCACAGAATTAGCAATGTAAAACTCAACGTTTTTCAAATATATATTAAGGAAAAAATAGCCAATGCAGGGTATGCAAGAGATCGCTTGGTAACATACAGGAATGGATACAAGAAACAAGCAATGAATGTACAAGAAATTGGCACTACCCAAACGGAAAAAGCCAGTGTGCAATCCATCCTACATCATTCTGCAGTCCGCTCACTCCAAAATTCCCTCATCCACTTTGTCAAAAGACGTTTTCAGTCCATCGAAACCCACACGTCCAAGGGCGCTGGATACTTGTCATTTCTCCTATCAAACAAATCAGGGACATTTTGGACGACCGTTTCCACCGATCTTTTGTTTGTGGCCGCTCCACGGACTTTGGGACCGCTGTTCAAAAGACGGGGGAGGAGACGGGTGGTGTAGCGAGGTGCTTGTGAGAGGAGAGTAAGTGATATTGGGTGGGTTTTGAGTGGAGGTTGGTGTTGTGCTTCGTCTTGGTGCAGCTCACTGGAGGTGTTGGGCATATTTGGATAACGGTTGAAATTGGTGTTGGCTGCTGCTGGTGAGGACTTTTTGGCCGGTAACTGGGGGCGCTGGTGGCTGGCAGGTCTTAAAAGTGTTGTGTTCTGATCAAGTCTCCTAGCGCGACAACACATGCGATAGCGCGACCGCTACGCTATTTTGTGAACGTCCAAGGAAGCTCAAAAGTGTGAAAAACGCTCTAAATCTTTGGAATTTGGTTCTTCCGTTCTGAAGATGAGAGGCGTGGAAGGTTGAGGAAAGCCGCCCCTCCCTTTAAACACTTGTTCCCCAAATCCTACTCCAAAAAGCCCTTTTGCGTTTAACGCCAAGTCATGCTGGTTACCTTTTACCCTGTTGCCCCAACTTGAAGGGTTTTTAGGAAAGCGCGTCGTGTTGCGCGCCGCGACCGGGCGTTTGGCAAACTGACTTTTTACCAGTTTTTGAATGTTTGTAAAAACTGCCACAACAGCAGTTGATAGGATGCATGCAAAAAGAAGCTGGGTATTTATTCGTATTTACAGCTTTACAGCGGATATGTCTATTCTTTACATTTAGCGACCAAGAAAATGAGACAAAGCTCTAGTCATCCGTTAGATCAATAAAATCCATGGGTGATATGTTACTCCCAGTGATGGCTGAAGAGTGAGCCGAATCCTCATCCATTGACTCCTCTTCCGACTCTGAGTAGATTTCAATCACCTGGTTCTCCTCTTCTGTGTCACCCTCACTGTCTTCTTCTTCCTCCTCCTCATCATCCTCCTTTTCACTGCATTCGCCACTCTCTACCTCATCAGAGTTGGCAGTTGAATGCGATTGTACATCGTCCTCCATATCACTCTCATCAGAGGTGTCCTCCTCTTCATCTGTTAGTTCTTCCATAACATCTACTGAGAAATCAGGACGAATAGGTAGTTGCATCAATTCTTCATCCTCCTTCTCCTCTTCTGCATGCTGTTGCATTCTAGACCAGTTGCCGTCTTTCGCGTCAGCACGTCGCTCCCGATCATCTTTCGGTTTTGCTTTATGAGGAAGATGGCACTTTTTATTTTTGCATTTCCCCTCCGCAAAATCTGGGCACTGGTAAACATGCCGATTCTTGCACTGATCACCAGCCTCACAGAAACCCTCAAGCGCAAAATCGCGACAGATAGCAGCATCGGGACTTAGCTTGACATGCAGGTACGGACAATTCTCGTTCCTACAGCGTCCACGCTCAAAATGCAGACAGGTGGGCATATTGTGCATATTTGGGCTGTGGGAAAGTTTGCAGGACTCCACATCACATTGGCCTTTTAAAAAGGCGGGGCAGACTGCCAATCGTTCAGGCACGTGAGCGAAGCGACAGTACAGACCTTTGTCGCATCGACCTATAGTGCCCGGAAATGCAACTTTAGAAACGCGAAAGGGTACAGTCATGTGGACCCTTACCAAAGCGATAGAATTGGCAGTATTTCGGCTTCCGTAGAATCTTATTTCTGTTATGCATCGCCTTTGTACCTTCCCTGTAATAGTAATCTTAGTGACCAAGCTGAAATTCTTACAGTAAATGCCCGGCACAAACTTGAGAGAGGGAGGCGTTTTGTTTGATAATACGAGATTTCCTGTTTTGCTTCGCACGAAAGACAGTCCATTTAGGACCACACGCTTTGGGGTTTTCTTCTGTGGCGTAATCTCTGCATTTTAAGCATCGCACGTTGCTGATCGGTAAACCGTTCTCGGACAGCGAATCGCATGCATATACCTGTCTTGCGTATAAGTTTCCTCCCCGATGCATCCCGGATAAAAGCAACCCCGTTGATGTTTACAGTTTTTCGCCGTGGCGTTGCTAGATCTAGCATGCCAAATCAACACACACTTGCTGCTCGACGCTGCAAATGACCGCTGTACCTCGTTTCGCATTGGCTGCTACTAGTTTACTACCATCGGCGCTCTTACTGTACTGCATTCCATCCACGATGATGAGCGTCTTATTTGCGGATCTCGAGTATGTCTTTTTCGACAGTTTCTTTGATCTGACGCAAACATGACATGAGCTTGACCAATCTGAAGTCCACACACAAGGAGCTTCACGTACCGGATAGGTGTCGGTGGTTTTGGAGGCCTTGGCTTGCTAAGTGGCGCTAGAGCAGCCGAGTTAGAATATCAGGTGGCTATATCGAAAATAACGACAGTCCCCCTTGGTCCTATCCATGTATGGCACCATTAACGAGGAGCACTACCTACCACTCCCAACCCGCACAAGCTTATTGCCCGTTTTTACAAAAGCCGTGGACGGATCGTTGGCTTCGTTTTGCGGCTGACCCGATGGCATATCAAGAGGCAATGAAGATGACCTCGGTATATTGACTAGCGTCCGGTGACGAGATGGCTTATACGCTTTGCTGGCAGGCACATGCTTGGAGTTGGTAACTGATGTGGACGGAAGGGGAGCGTTGGTTGCCTTGTTGACAAGAGTGAGGTTGTGGCTCCGTTGGAAAGGCCGCTTCTGATATGGATGGAATGTCCGTCCATGGTATTGTGCACTCGAGCTTAAACGAGGCTGACGATTCAGTGCACCTGTAGTAATAAGTCAGTGAAATTTATGCCTGGTGTGGACGGTTGTGTAGGAGAGAACATCACCTGACAAAAGTGCAATCTGCTTCAAAATCTCGTCATTGTCGGCCATTGCTGTCATCTGCAGGGACAGAGGGTGAGATAAAATGCACTCAGTCCAGGTTATTCTTTCTGATTCTATCCAAAAGGCGGTAGTAAGTAAAACAAGAGATGAAAACCAGAACTGCACAAAGGCCAGTGGGAAGTCTCAACAGCTCGGGGCTAAACTACTCGATTATTTCTTTTTGACGACGCGTCTGTCTGCGTAAGCTCCTTCAAACTAGGCAGCCAGAGGACATGGAGGTGGAGAAACCAGACCGGAAGAAGCGGAAAGTTCAAGGAAGCAAAGCGACAAACGGTGATGGGGTCTCTGTATATTCTACGAATCAATTTGCAGCGCTGCGCACTCTCAAAAAAGTACGGCGCCCTGCGGGATCTGAACTTTTAAGTACTGGTCCTCCACGGCTGGAACCCACACCTTCTACTGGTTCGACGATAAGCGAACTGTCGTCTTTACCGTCTGATAGAGATGAGATACGGGAGACCAGCGCTCCTACTACGATACTGTCAGGAGGGTCCGGACAACGGGGGAGGAAGAGACAAGTTGAGGAGAGGAAATGGGAGACGCACTTTCCGGATATGAATGCTGTCTCTTCATTCCAGCCGTCCGTGGGAAACGTAGTGTCTAATAACTCCAATCTCTGTGTGGTTGCACTGAAGCCTGAGGAGGTATTGTTTATTTCAGTCCTTCATAATTTGTGCGGTTCCGCAAGCTTATAAGGCGCCACTGTAGACCATATGCTTCCAAGGCATGGTACTTGCGACTCCGATCAGTGGGTGTTTATCTGTGTTCGGTCATCGATTGGTTGCAAGCACAGCATGGAAAGACATTGCGACCAGCAAAACGAAAGCCAACCGAAGCTCCTTGCCTCCGCTCGCTTTCTACCCATGCTTTTCTCCAAAGTCCCAAAGCCTGTTGGTGTTGAAAGCCGATGCATTGCCCGATAGTAACACATCCTCCACTCCGGTCAAAGACTTACCAGCGATACAGCTTGCAGACAGAACAATATCACAAGCGATTCTGGATCTTGTAATACAACTGAAAACAAGAGCCGATCCTAGTGTGACCATCATTGCGCTTCAAAGTATGACATACAGCAATTTGCAAGGTATCGAGGGATGCATGCCACTTTTAAAAGGCTTGCTCAAGGATGAAGTCAATGGGGTAAGCGCCGAAATATATGATTTCTTGACCGTCATGAACTCTCGCTGATGATTGCGTCGAAGAACTTTTCGATCGGTATCCCAGGTTTCTATCCGGTATGATTTTTATGAGATTTTGTTCATGGAATGTGCCAATCAAGCTTATCATCTGTTCCCAGATCTTTAATCCTATACCAAACGTCACAGCCTTGTCGATACCGCATCAGTGGAGTGACGTCGCAACGTCGATAGCGTCTTATGTTGATCCGGGACAGCGTAAAGTCATTTGTATTGTGGGAAGCAAAAATATGGGCAAGTCGACACTTGCTCGATATCTTATCAATCGGCTACTGAACTGGTGAGCAGATTTAGGTTGTTCGAATTGAATGGGTTATGTTATTAAATTCCGATCGTAGCTATCAGGAAGTTGCGTTTCTAGAATGCGATATCGGACAACCCGAATTTACATCTACAGGACTCGCGTCGTTGAATGTAGTAACAGCTCCTTTATTAGGTACGCCACTATGGAATAATGTTCGGATAGCTTCATGTGTATTCTAATGAGTATGATCCTCCTCAACATAACCAGGTCCCCCGTTCACGCACCTTCAACCTCCGCGTCGAAGCTTCTATCTCGGTGCGACATCAGCGAAGCACGATCCTGACTATTATCTAGAATGTCTACATGAGCTCTACAATGAGTATGAGAATACCATTGCAGGTACCAATAGCGGTAACATGGTTCCACTCGTCATCAACACCCACGGATGGATAAAAGGTTAGTGTATGGAAAACGTGTCACATGGTCCAGCATCTTGTCCAACCATTCGCGACATAGGAATGGGGGTCGATCTCCTGGTCCATTTCTTAGCGCGAGTTCGGCCGACCAACATCCTTCAAATGTCCGTTCCCAATAACACTCCCCAAAGTTCATCGAAGAACCTAAACGTTGATTTGGCTGACGTTTTGTCGAACATGATCGGGAACCAAACAAACGTCTGTGTAACCCAAGTGCCAGCTATTGACGATAGTGCAGCAAGGTAGGTGCTGTCCCATGTTAATCAGAGTCAAAGGAAGCCTGACAGTGGCTGCAGAGCGAAGTTTGGCGCAAGCGACCACCGTGCGCTGGGTCTCTTGTCATATTTCTACCAAACTCTCGGTCATCCAGCTGCTTTGGCCCTGTCTGAGACCAAGCAGCCTCATTGGTGGAGTTTCCACGAGGCAATAACAGCAAGGGTACCATACCAAGTTCCCTTCAAATCTTTGAAGATTCGCTTCATGCACGGCGAGGTGCCATTTAGTCAGACATTTCATGCACTCAATGGTTGCGTGGTAGCACTTGTCATTGACCAAACGGCGTACGAGACACCCCAAAATGTATCATCTACCGTAGAGATATCAGACGAAGACGTGAGTCCGCAAGGGTTGCACATCAATTCATCTCTCGCTTTGCTGACATGGAATGCGCGGGTTCTGCACGATAGGTATACCATGAAGCTGCTAAATCCTTACGCATCGTACCGTCGCAGATTCCACTCATTCCTGCATCGCATAATTGCGTCGGACTTGGCCTGGTACGCAGCATCGACATCGAAACCGGTGTTTTTTACATTGTGACAGGCCCGATTCCACCGAAACAGCTTGCTGAAGTCAATATGCTGGTGCGCGGGGCGGCAATGGAAATACCTGTCAACTTGGTTACTGCTGGATACGAGGTAAGGCAACGCATTAGATGACCTCATGCAATAACACGCACTGAACATTATGCTGCTGCTAATAGAACAGTCGCGCCCATCTGCCATATACAACGCACTTGGCCTCAGAAGGAATCGGCTCCCTTGCATGGCGGACGCGCCATAATCTACTGCGACGACGACGACCTCCTGGTGGAGGTACTCCAGTTTCATAAATAAGGATGATTATTATAATTATGCAAATGTATGTACACATCATTATATACGTAATTTTGGCATCAAGTGCTCAGTGATGCGAAATTAGTGACCCGAAATATATATACACGTGGGTGAGAATTCATGGTTAGATCGTTGAGTGTTAGCTCTATCCACTCCTACGAGATGACGGCGTATAGAGGGCATCCTCGAGATCCATCGTGACGCGATCCAGTTCATCCTTGAAATCCAGGAGCGCATTGTTACATTTCCCTTCTCGATCTTTCACCGTTAGCCAGCGAGAGTGTAGAGTCGCGTTCAGCATCTTGAAATCGTTTAGTAGAAGGACTTGTTTGAGTTCTGACGTCAACGTCAATAGTGATTCTGCAGAGTTCACCTACGAAACGATAGGAAAATTCGTTAGCTGTTGGTCAGTCGGATCTTGAGTAACTACACCGCCATGACTAACGATATTTGCAGCCGCGCCCTCCATCAACTGTCGCTCCTGTGCAATTTTGTATTTATCTTTGGTTTCGAATTGACTCGAGTCGGTCAAGCTGCTTTGTCGTAGCTGCGGTTGTGAGGGGTAAAGTATGCTCTTCCTTTAGTGCATGCCATAAGATCGCGTATAAAAGACCACGATCTTACCGATGCAGCTTCAACCAAGTGCGTCAAGTTATCAAGGAGAACGTCAATTTCCGTGTCAAGGCGCTTGTTAAGGTCATCTTCGGTGTAAGTACTCGGTATAGCCATGATGGTTGAAAGGAGTCGTGAAGGAATACGTACTGCCCCTCCAAGATCTCGTCACGTGCTCGCCATGCGATTTGCACGTTACCACGACAATAGGATCTGCGATTCTGTCTCTTGACCTGCCTTAAAAGGCGGAGATCTTTGTCGAGGATTTGCACCCCTCCGGACGGGTATTTTTCTTTGTAGACGCCCGCCAAGTCTTTTCAAAGTCAATATCAAAGTCATGTCCTGCAAAGTGGTAAAAGTTTCAGACGTGGCAGCTCCGTTCATGTACGGTGTGCGAAATTATAATTTGCATTGAATACTGTTAACTGACTCTAGAATGTCTTTTACTTGTGTTGCTCAAACAGCCAAGAGCTAAAAGATCAAATATCCAAGCTGGAGGTTAAGCCCTTGTTGGTAGCCTTCCTTGCAAACGACGACCCGGCAGCCAAGAAATACGCCGAATGGACGGAGAAGACTTGCGCGGAAACGGGCTTGCGCTTCGAGCTGAGGGAATGCCCAAGAACCGAATTGGAAGATCGCATTGTGGAAGCAAATGAGGATCCCAATGTTCATGGAATTATGGTGTATTATCCTGTATTTGGTGGGACACAGGTTGGTATTGGGTTGGTCTTGGTTCTGGCTCTTTCTTGTTTACGAACTCGACGAATATCATCAGGACGGATACATACAGAATACTGTCAGCTACCGAAAAGACGTAGAGGTACGATTGCCAACGTCTCCGTTATACTATTCAGATTGTTGAGCTCAATCTCTATCAATTATAGGGTCTCTGCCATAAGTATCGATACAATATGTACCACAATATTCGATATCTAGACCAGCAAGAAACCCAGAAATGTATCATCCCGTGTACACCCCTTGCCATGGTCAAAATTCTGGAACACATTGGAGTTTACAACAAAATCCTACCATACGGCAACCGACTTCATGGTCGCATCATCACCGTCATCAACCGAAGTGAAGTTGTTGGACGACCTCTGGCGGCGCTCTTGGCTAATGATGGGGCCAGAGTGTATTCAGTCGATATTGACGGCATCATGGAATTCCATCGTGGGGAAGGTTTGAAGCTGAAGAAGCATGAGGTCAAATACGCCAAAGTCACTGTATCGTTAACTATTCGCTCAACGCAAACTAAATGAACTTCTCTATTCCAGGTGTTTGAGACAAAAATTACTTTGGAAGAAGCTCTTAAACTCTCCGACGTAGTCATCACGGGCGTACCCAGTCCGAACTACCGCGTGGATACGTCAATCCTGAAGGATGGCGTTATCGCCATCAACTTCTCCACAGCAAAGAACTTCAATGACGATATAAAAGAAAAGGCCTCCATCTACGTGCCTTCGGTCGGAAAGGTCACTGTGGCCATGTTGGAGCGGAACTTGTTGAGATTGTACGACTATCAAACGCAATTGTAAATAAACATTTATCATATTTAATAGATTACTTTTTAATAGATTACTTTTGAAGACCTTTTCATCACTTTATCTTTTCCTTTGCTAACTTTGCCTGTATGTACAGTTCCGTGTATGTGCAGTTTCCAAAATATGAACAAAAATCTATAAATACGGACCTCTTCCCCACCATCACATCCTCGACAGTCCACAGCTATTCATAACGTTCCTCAAAATGCCCGACTTGCCCTTTGTGGCCGCAATTATTCTATTTTTCGCAGTCGCAGCTCTCTGTTCTGGTGATCCACGTACGACCGATCGTGTATGTCGCGATTTTTGACTGGCCGAAACTTCGTCGGGGGATGGAAAGGTGTGCATAGTATGGGCTGCAGGAGGGAGTTTGATTTCCTACAAAGATGTGTCGCCCATGAGTGAGGAGAGGACCTCAATGCAGAGACAAAATGTACTTACCCATCCACTCGAATCGATTATTTGCAAAAACTCATTAAATAATGCCGTCCCTTGGAGAGTAGATTTGGATCCAAAAATAATCAGTTTCTTCTTTGCTCTGGTGAAAGCGACATTGATACGACGCCAGTCTCGAAGCAAATCTCCAACATTCTGCTTGGGATTGGATCGCACCAGGGACACTACGACGCAGTCCTTGTCGCTGCCTTGGAATTTGTCGACGGTATGGATAGCCACATTGGTACGATGTTTGAGGAATTGTCCAATAACTTTCAGCTGCGACCGGTAGGGAGAAATAACGCCAAGAGCTGTCTCTTCCACCCCACACGCAACTAAACACTCCACAATCTGTAATATTACAGGGTTATAAAAGGACGAATAACCAGACTAACGGTAATGATCTGCATACATACCTGGCGCACTAGTATCGCCTCAATGTCATTTTGAACCAAGTCACCAGGCCGCGAGTCTGGCGCAGGTACCTCATCAGTATTCACGAAAACTACCCGACGGCTTATATGTGGAGATCAAGATGATTAGATTCCAAGATTTGCCTGCAAAAGACATCGGAAAGTGGAAACATACCGAGGCTCAACAATATCCCGAATCCAACAGTTTGCTCCCTGACAGCTCCGATTGGCATGAGCGTGCGGCGATGGAGATCCCGCCGCGTGCAATTGATCCAGTCCCTCCTTCATCTTCACCACGTTAAGAGCGGAATGCGCAACGGCCGGGGTCCCGCATCGGAGGCGATGGTTGTAAATAAGCGCATTGGAGAGTAACATGATATCCAAATTCATGCGATATTGGTGCTCGAGATTGACAACAGCCTCAGGGTGTGCCTCGCTGAGAATTTTAAATAACGAGGACGCCAGTCCTGTATCTTTCGCCTCTGGGTTACGAACCTGTTTGTTCGGTTGTGATGTGTTTATCAGGCAACGTCTACGAATTCAAAGAAGGTACAACACGTACCAATGGAGGAAGTTGATAATGATCACCAACAAGAATGAAAACATCCGCGAAGCGCAGCGGCCCGAGACACACAGGAAGAGTCAATTGCGATGCTTCGTCGACAATGCAATAGTCAAATGTACGCTTTGTGAATAGCACGCTAGAAGGGAACATTGTAAGCGAATTTAACGCGCCAAAGCATACATCATTCATCAAACTTACTGATTGATTCCCAAGCACGTCGTTGCAACGATCTGCTTTGACATGTAAAACTTTTCGAGATCCTCAACAGAGTTGATGTCACTGCGATAGCTCGCCGTATATGGTTGGATAGCTGAGTGGATCTGCAATTTACTCACGTTCACGACTGTATACTGCACAAGCACCAGAACGCCAGAGCAAAGCTGACCTTTTGTTCATTACCCAATCGTAAGAAATCTAGACCCTCATCCCGAAGCTTGAGTAGCACGTTATCCACTGCCGTATGTGTGTAGGATGTCAGCAAGACAGTTTTTCCCCGCTTGACAAGGGTTTGTATGATGTATGCAATCGTCGTGGTCTTCCCCGTTCCAGGCATACCCAAGATAAGGGCGTAGTCCAGAGCTAATAGCAATAAACCATGATTGGTTGATACTGGTTGAGTGACGCGTTGTTATTTGGGTACATACCGGACATAACCTTTTCTACAGCATGACGTTGGTCCATATTCAAGGTTTGATCCAATGCAGTGCCTCCGACATCATGCTGGAACTTCGGTGCTTCCAGGTCTACGATGAGCCGTCTTCGCTTTGCGTCTCCGTCTGCTTTGAAGAGGGCGACTAAATTTGCCCGAACCAACCCCATACCGGATGCAAATTCATCCTTGTCAATCCGATACATGGTCCGATCCTCTCGCTGGCTTGGTTCGCCCCCTGGACAGTTGTTTTCCTTTCGAAAACCCGGCTGTCTCACTTCCATGATACCTTCAAAATCCTGGTTTTTTGATTCATCAAAGTTGTGAAGGCGATGTGGTGCCCCACGGAGGCGTCGGTCCACTGAGACTGTTACGATGTCAGGCCGCAAATCCACCACGAACCCTATGGCCAACGCATAATGGCCGTCTTCGGTGGACACTACTATGGGATCACCAACAGCAATATGGGAGTTCAGAAGCGACGCGGGAGGTTCTGATGCTGGTTCTGAGACAGCTCGCGAAAAGCGGTACTGTCTACGCATTGGACCTGATAAAGGTGAGTCCTTTGCAGACTCAGGGCTATCAGGAAGCAGACGCATTTGACTGAAGCACCTATAGCATCATAGATCCGCTTAGTGTCATTTGATCTGCAAATCATACATTACGATCTTCACCTCCGAAGTTTCTCTCGCTCAGTGCCCAATAATGTCCAAATTTCCTTTCGCATACGTTGCATATCACCTTCTTCCATAGTGATCAGTCGCTCCCATTTATCAAAGAATGCAATGTGGGCAGCGGTCATATGGCTCGTCCTTTTGTCAAAGAGAGAGCCTAGCCCGCTGGTATCCGCCGTGCCATTCTCGATAGCCTGTGCGAAGATGGTAAGCAAAGGAAAACATATCAGCTCAACAATGATTTCCTACGTACTTTATGGTATGTCAAGCAATTATCAAGAGCATAGCATCGCTGGCAGGCATGTAATCTCTGAATCATGGGCGGTAGCTTCCCCCGCGAATTCAAGTAGCTTGCCATGGCATTGCGAGCTATTATCAGTCCCCGTACTTCATCGCGCAATGAAGGAATTTGTATCATGTCGCCGGCTTTCATATAATACAAAATACCGCTTGCAACATCAATGTCTGTTTGTTTGTACTTTTAATCGTCGAATCCAAGGTAAATTGAAAAACAGATAGACCATACCATAACGGTCAGACATCATCAATGTATACAAACTAGTCTGCGCTCGGTGCGACACGACTTTGCTGTTTCTGCCAGTTTTCAATTCAAAAGGAGCAGCCAGCGTTTTCAGTGGACCGGACCCCTGTCGCACGCGCAGCTGCACGGTAGCATCAATGTTGCCTTTGATGCCATACATGGGAGACCAGATGTTCTCTTCAATGTCCAGTACTTTGCTGATGCAAACTGTCATCTTCTGCTCTTTATCGTTACGATGCTGCTGAACGACCGCATCTGGCTGTCACAGGACAGTGGTTATCGACTATGTTACAGGTGCTCCATTCCTGTCAAACCTACCTTTGGTGTGGTACCGATGAATTTTGACGCCCACTGTTGCAGAACAGAAACTGATTCCCTCAGATGGGCCGTGGCGACAGTTTCAGTCTCACCGATACTATACAGTTCCTCAATGCTCTTCCGAACCAGTCGGTCAATCTCCTCGTTTATTCGTCTTGTCGAGAAGTCATTTTCCACCAAGCACGTCTGTAGTAAGCAGTGCAGAAGATTGCCATACACTAATGGCGGGGTTGGCTCGCCAAAGGACCGAACACGGGCTTGCAGGATAGACTTTCGCAGACAGTCAAAGCTTTCGGCAACATAAGTGGCAGACACTAAGGTGTCCGGATGTACAATGACCAAGCTTTTCTCATTGTCCGCTATACATCGATTAAATGCAGGATCAAAAGCACCGAGGACATGAATGTAATCACCTGGGCGTATAGTCAACATTCTGTCCGGAGCTGTCAATAACAAATGGGAGTGAAAACTTACCAACGTTCACGTCTGTGCTGTACCAATCCTCGCGCAAATGCAGATACCGCTCGGTCGTTGTGCTTTCATCAAAGAGCCTAAGGATCTGCATGAACATGAAAAGGCATCCAGATGTAAGCAACAGTTTATGCAATGTATGATGTAAGACCAACCTTTTCAGGACTTCGGCATCCTCCAATAGCGTAGCCGTATTCACTCCAAGAGATCTCCAGGACGAGAAAACGCATGTACTTTTGCCTGAATTGATTTCCCTGCAGATACAATAGCGGAGGGTCAGTCCCTCACGGGCAATCGCAGGTACGCTATGCTTTCGTCTACCTGACTCTTCATCGCAGGTGGTGCGGGTGGTGTACAAACGTCAGATGCACCGCGTTCACTTCCTGAGGCCTGGTCACCTGCAATCGGCAGGTTTACTGTTATCTGCTGGTTGTGCGAACAGTATTCCTGCATCACAGCATCCAACGCCAAAGAGCACGCCATGTCATCGTCATCGTCCACAACACAAAAATAGTCTTCCTCAGATTCGAGTTTTTCCTGACAGGTGCTACTAGAGGCGGTGAATACATCGCGGTTGCGTATTTTGACGTGCTGAAGTGTGCTCTGGTCGGGACTCTTAGCAGAGACTGCTTCGACATGGACAACCATGCCCGAACCGGCTTTCGTGTTAGATGACATGACGGGTACAGGACGACGTCTCCCTCGTGGTCCAGATTCTCTCTCAGCGCTGACCCTTTCTGTAAGCTGAGCAACAGAGGCTGCCTCCCAAGGAGGAATATTCTCTTTATTGTCTTCACTACATAAGCTTTTCCTCTTCCGCTGGGGCAACTTTGTTGCGGACTTCCCCACTGTCGTGGATATCTCCTTAATCTGACTTGGAACCGCCAGCTCTGGTTGCTCGCCATTCACGGAAGATCTGATTGTTTCTGTTGAGGTCGTCCGATTCGGTGAGGCACCTCTTTTCGGTTGCATATGTTCATTATGAGAATATGACACTTGATGGAGGAAAGGTTCAAGGTCATCGTGCCCGGAACTCGGTATATTTGGCAGCGAAATCGATCGCTCAAGAGGCCGGCGTCTCCCGCTACCCGGTGACTTTGACGCTGCATTATTGGACGGGCTTCCCGGAACATCGAAACGCATATCATCAAAGACGGATTTACAACGTGCAATGAAATCTCGCAAAGCAACACGGCTTTCTACAGGGGGACTACCATCCGGCTTGTCAGCCGCAGTCCAGTGCAATGCTTTTTCTTTTCGTTGCCGCTTTCGCTCGCTGATGCGTGCAGAAGGGGAGCTTTCGATGTTGCTCAGACTAAATGATCGTTTGAAAGCCTGGCGGCTCCTTGGAGTCATTTCGACAGTGGGCGACGGTGCAAGCTCCAACCAACGTCGGTTATTGCTTTTGCTTCGGTCAGAATCCATGGATACTTGACCATTTCGTGATTTGCTGTTTGGCGTCTTCGTCTGATAGTACGACAGTCAAATGCAGAATGTCACTTCGACGCACCAACTTTCACCTACCAGAGGATTGGGCTCACTTTTCAGCATCTTCACAAGATAAGTTACCTCTGCTTCAGGATCTACAAGGCCTCCTTCAAGGCGATCTTTGTCAGATTGAAAAACCATATAAATATTGCATCCAGAGATCGTACCATCTTTCTCAGCAGCCTGTAGCTTATCACCGGGGGGAGATGCGAGCCAAAAAACAGTTTCTTCTTGGTCGCATTTCAGTTTGATGCTCCCTTGGGTTAAGGAGGGTAGCTCTGACACGCTAGATGGACTTTGCTCCAGTAGTGGGACCTCAATGGCTCTGGCCGCCTCCTCTGCAGCGTGCTTTCTCGACAATGGCTTTTCAGTGGGACCGTCCAAAAAGCCAGAATCGGCTTTTTTCAATCCGTCTTTATGTTTCACTGATCGGGGAGAAGCAACGGCATCCGTGCCAGACGGGGGTGTCAATTGACGTGGCGCCATAGGCTTTGGCCGTACCGGCGACGTCTCATCACAAACTACCTGTGCCCTCTTGGACACTGTAAATAGGATCATTGATGAGAGCGATAAGTATCGTACGATCATACGTGCAATTGTATAATTAAACTGGCAATTGGGTATGATTTGTACTCACCAGGGCAAACAGAAGAGGCAGCCGATGTCAGTAATCCTCTGCTTTCCGCTGTCACTCGAGAATTGACTCCAGGCTCTTCGCTTAGGACATTTCGCTCGCCGAGTGCTTTCCTGGCGCTAGGCGGTTTGGTGGTCTGTCCGACTGGCTTCCGCTTCGGCTTCTCGACACTGCCATTTTCTCGATCACCTATCATCTTTTCCGCAGAATCTACCTTCACTTTGGTGCTGTTGCCATCGATGCCAGCTGTAGGCGCCAGGAATCGGCGTATTCCAAGGCTTCCGTCGGGTTTGGGCTTTGCCTTCGCTGTCGCGGAGGTACGCTATATATACCCGTGAAGAGATCAGGTATCGTCGTGCCTGTGACTCTTCAACGCATGCATACCTTCGTGCCGTTTATGGTCTTAGTCGGTAGAGCGGCGGAAGAGCCATTTTCGTTCTTCCCGGCTACCGATCTCTTCTTCATGTTTGGATGGATCGAGAAGTGTTACGAAAATGGGAGCCAAGTGAAGTGCAAGTGCACGCCTTGAGAGTTCAACCTCGGTCTTTTTCGGTATCACCTATCTAATTGACTCCACCTGGGCATGGGGAATACGGTGTGCTAGTGATTTGTTGACAGCAATATAGTATTTATCTGGTGGAATTCTGAACACCTCATACAAAAATGTTCAGATCCCGCAAAACGGATCTGGTAGCAGCGTCCAGAGTCCAGGGCAAGGTGCACCGTTCCGCACCGCTACGTAACCGCTAAGCGAGTAGTGCTAGTGTTGGGTACAATTTCTTACGGACCTCGCGCCGGATTTTTGAACGGTCGGACGTGCTGGCAGAGCTTCGTGACGCGTTGCTGAACTGAAGGCCAATCCATGTGATTTTCGGCCAAAGCGAGTCTTGAACTCTTTGCAAAGTGCGCAATCTTGGCTACTGGTTTTCACGACTGTTTTGATGGCATTTTCATTGCCAGACAATACTTCCTCCTGTCGTACTTTGTTCGGTACCTTACTGTGTGCTCGATTGATGAAATATCCGAACTGGATAGTAGTACATAAAAGCAGATTGTCTTTACAGGAGATTGAGGTTCGCATAATACGCTGACTGGGAGCTACCGGCAACTATGTCAAGCGCAGATTTCCCGAGCAAGGCCAGGTACTTTGCGTAAAACTTCAACGAGACGCTTGCTGGAATCTTGTCCGGATGTTTGTCCGAACTCCGCCGTGACTTTCATGTCACGTGTCTCGTTGCGTCATCTGAATTGTAACGTATTGAACGCCTCGCAACTGCTCTTGACGAAATCTCGACCTACACATCCCTATTCCTGCTACAACAATGGCTGTTCCAGACCCAGAGACAATACCCTCCCTCTCCTACTTCCCATTTCCCAAAGAAGTGGCCCGTAACATGTTCACCGAGGTGCGATCAATAGGTACCTTCTTGTTACTGTCGTTATGAAAGACGCACAACAACACTAACCACAGTTCATTCTTGTTATAGCCGCAGGTTTGGGCACAAATGGTCTTGCAGAGCACGCGGACAAGATAGAAGCTGGTCTCAACCGTATGGGCAGCGGTATGGACTCAGCCGGGAAGAGCATCAAAACGGGCCTGGTGGTTGTGGGAATAGGGCTGGGAATAGGGCTAACGGTAATAGGTACCGGGCTCATACTACAAGCTTTAAACGAGCAAAGGTCGTCAACGAAGAGACGGTGCCGCCGACGAAAGTCAACGGACCCAAGAACAGGGTCTTCATCTGAATGACATCCATGTACATTTCTTTGCATTTTATTGTGTTTAAATTAATATCGACCTACCAGATTCCTTTGAAGCAACATCTTTGTTTGGTATTCAGTAGAACAGAACAAGTTGAAGTTAATATCTCGTGCATGTTTGTCCGATCCGGTTATTGTCATGGTAACAAGAATCACATGATCTACCATCCCAAACCACGACCTTCCAACTGAATGCCATTAGGCGGTTGTTGCGTTGCTTCCACATTCTGCTATGATGAACAGCGTGGTGACCACTCCCGTACAGGTAAGCTCGCAAGCAATTCGTCAGGCAGGCGGGCCTTGGGTTCTTGAGAGTCGTACTGAAACTCTCCTGTCGTTTAAAAAAGCTCGGCACTGCTGCCCACCGCATATATGTAACGCGCTTGTACCGTCGCTCGCTTCGTCTAGCGGCAGACTGGTACTGGCAGCGGGCAGAGTTTCGTGAAAAGGCCTTGATTATCCGCCATCTATTCGAGCAAAACCGTAATAACCCCAACCCTAAAGAAATTGAAAAGTTGATTGCACGAACTGAATTAATGCTCGCCACCTACCACCACCCCCAGCCATACTACAGTAAGTGGAACGTCGTTTTACCCATTTGGACGTTCCAGGCAATCTTCTGTAGAAGGCTTGGTTGTCGACACTTACGGGGCGACGGGTTTAGGGACCAAGAAGGACAGTTCGTTAAAACCAAATCTAACCTATTTCTTGTCCTATTTCCAGACCCCACCGCACCCGGAGGTTCCAAATGGGAGCGCAACATTCCATTCCCGGAAGAGGTAATTAGTGTTAACCGACCGCTGTCATTTACTTGTTTATTCAAAAACACTCATTCCATTGTACAGTTGGTCAAACGGGGCGTCACACCATTCGACAATTGCAGCTAAGACTTACACTGTAATCTATATCTGCGATGGGGAAACTTTGAAATGTGAATATATACCGACATCATACGCTTCATATGATATGAGTGCATATTCGACTGGCAGGGCCTCTTTTCAACCTTTGTTGGGAAAGCTTAGGATCTGCCGCCGACCCAGAGTCAGCTGGATCATCTGAGGGTTACCGGTGTGCTATTGCTAACGTGATAGCATTCTATCACGTTTCGCTGCAGGTGAATGGTATTGATGTCATGGAGTATCACTCCTAAGCAGTCTGTGCACCAGGTTCTCCCAAGAGTTCACGACGGCTTTGTGGATGTTCTCTTCTTTCAAGGGTTAGGGAAATACCTTGCGTAAGGAGCTGCAATTGTGTAATGTCATTTAGCAATATCCGCCATATCGAACATATCTATAAACAAACCAGCAGCAAACAGGAGCTTGTACAGGTCTAATGTGAGAGGTATCATTTGAGTCTTACCAGGGAACCTGGAGGCGTTGATATTGGGCGCCGTTACCTAAGATTACAAACTGTATGTGCCCAATGAAGTTCCACGTCAGCGCGTCGCTGTTCCGTGATCTCCACATAAAACAACACAAACCATTCAACAATTATATATTCTCATATTGGGCAATGGTGAATGCAACCCAAGCCTCAAAACCCGCCATTGAGCCGCCAGCTACTGGCGCAAACATGCACATAGACACGGAAGCGAACCAAGCTGCCAACCTGGCAATGCTGCCACCAGCTTCTAGGGCTTCCGTTCCAACAGAAGATGCCGATAATCCATCACCAGCACATTCTACTGAGACGATAAGGACGGATGATGTGGAAGAAATAGACGGACGCGCCCGCCATGACATGGAGATTCGAAATCATCACGATGACTTTTCAGTTGGAAATGAACCGGACTCAGACGAAGAGGAAGAGGAAGAGTATAGCTATGGCTACACACCACTAAATAGTGGGTATGAGCCGTTGGGCGGTGACGCAGACGGGGAAGACGAGATTGACGGACAAGGAGAGCCAACGACATTACAGTCACAACTCAAAGCACCCGAGCCTTTAACAATAACAATGGACAAAAATTCCATTATTGACAATGGTAGTTCGCAGCTTTTTGAAAAAAACAATCGATACAAATGGCAAATTTACAAGTTACCCCTATATAATCTAGATGATTTGACCATAATCCAATCCGTCATGTCTACAATAACGATACCAGAGTCGGCCATACCAGAATGGGCGAAAGCAGTCCCAGAAGAGCAATGGCTACCCAAGCTGATAATCGATTGTCCTAATACTTCGAGTGACGTATCTACCCCTTCGGGAAGATGATACCATTAGCCGAAAAGGCCAACGAGCTCGTCCACTGTCATCTTCTTTGATTTCTTAAAGTTGGCGTCTCCGAGCGCTCCATCGATCAAATCTCGCTGTACAAACGATATAAATATGTGAGGTAGGAACAGTGGGACGAAAATACAAGGTAACTACGGCCATACCTTCTTCTTCTGCAAAGCCAAGATCCGATCTTCGACCGTTCCCTCGACAGCGAGTCGAATGACCGCAACATTTCGCGTTTGGCCAATTCTGGAACATAGGCAGGATGAGCAGGCAGGCCATCGATAGCCATACTGATAAAACGCTATAAATTATTACCGATGCACCCGATCAATTGCTTGATCTATGATAAGCGCATCATTAGTGATGGATATTGAATGAAGGACTCCTCATATGCTCCTTTTGCCCACCTTCCAGTGCAGGATTCCACCACATGTCAAGCATTATCACTCTATTGGCCGCTAGAGCCCGTAATTCGTTAGTAATTTGATGCATATACGCCGCAATTTTTTTATTTACCTGTGAGATTCAGCCCAAGAGACCCACATTTGAGTGAGATAAGCATGACCGTAACATTCGGATCGTTTCGAATGCTCTCTATACTCCTCTCTCGCTCAGGGTTTGGCATAGACCCATCATCTATATAAACAGAAAAATGTTGAGCGCAAAGGCCAAGCTACATCTTGCTTCAAACCGGGAACTAAAATGTCACGTACATCGGCAAAATCCGTACCCTTTCTTACGCAATGGGATTTCCACGATATCGAGCATGCTAGTGAATTGCGAAAAAACTATGGTTTTTCCTTCGGGATCCCGCTCGCGTATGTCATCGAGGATGCTCATCATCTACAAAATTGGTCTGGTTGAGAATGATACCAAGCTGCCGTCTAAATACAATGCAGAAGGTTGTACCTTATCTACTTTGGCAGATGCTACCCATTTTGTACTTAGTTCAGCTACCAGAGCAGAATTCTTTCCAACCTTCCTGGACGTGATCGTCGGCCCAAGGGTTTCCGCTGCCACAAATTTTTCGCGGCAGTCCTGGCACTGCTTTTGATCCGAAGGAATATTTCTCAAGCTGGAAATCAATCTTTCAGTCTCCAGTGAAAGCCACTTCAGAAAGAGCAGGTTGCAACACTTACGGTTCAAAACAGATTGTACATTGACGGTTATTAGCCTCCACTTCGAGGGTTTTGAACATAGCCATCATTTCATCAATGTCCTCTTCCTCAACGGCGCCCTTCTCCGGGGTTACCTCTCCTTCCTTGTCCGCCCCATGCCCAACCAAAGAACGGTGATTACAGGCTGCGGCATAAAAGTTGTGTCAAATTGTGTACGTTAAAATAATCGTCGAACCGTACGCATTACCCTGCCGCAATCTGCAAAGAGTTACATCAGTACCTGAGTGCCAAATAAATAATGTGCATGTCGTACCTCAGCAATAAGCATAAGATATTAGTATAGTTTTTGTTGTATCCAGCCTAGAATCGCCAAGAGTGAGAAGAAGACGATGAAATACTCCTGCCCGGGAAAACAAAATCTGAAGGGTTACCTTTTGAAATGATTTCAACTTCATTCGCATTTTTTCCTCCAACTTCTGATAGTACTGTCTTTCATCTTCAGCAAACTGCACGTTTTGCAATTCAACATTTCTCTCTGGCAGGTTAAGTAATGGTTTTCCATCTATCTTGGTCGTCTTTGTGCGTCTCAGCATAATTGCTTGCAAAATAACACGAAGGCGTTCTAAGCCGACTTTCGAGCGTCCGCGCGAGAGAGGTTCTGATATTTGTGACTTGAAAACGGCTGTGAAACTTGTATTAGAGAGCGTTTTGTGTATTCACAAAGCTATCTGCATGAAGTCCCACGTACAATACTCATCGAAAGGCTTGAACCGCAGAAACTTCAACAAACTGTAGAACTCATCCACGTTATTCTGTAATGGAGTACCTGAACACAAAGAGAGGGATCAATGCGAAGGCAGCTAATCCGTTTTATTTTCAACTACTTACCAGTCAAGCAAAATCGTCGTTCAGCTTGCAATGCACAGCATCCAATGGCACTTCGCGTCGACTTATTCTTAATTGTTTGCGCCTCATCTATATGTGTGATAGGGTTAGATGCTTTCTGACAATGCTCGTCCATGTGGATATTACAAGCCGGCGGTACGTACCTAGTACCACCCGGAACCATTTGACACGATACAGCGGACCAGCTTCTTTAGTGGGCTTGGGGACTTCGATTACTTCGTCCTTTTTGCTTTTGCTGGTTTTCGGCCATTCGGAGGCAATCACTATTTTGCACTATAGGTTGACATGATATTCTACATTCACTTTAAAGGGGGAGGACTCAACACACCTGAAAAGGTGGTAATGACCACATCATACTGCTTCAACTTGGCGGGATCTGCACCAGTACTACCGTTAATCAAGAAAGTTGAGGGTAAGCGATAAGCTTCCTACCTTTCGTTCTGCCGGGTCCATGGTATAGAAGAACTTTCAGAGTCCCTTTTTTAGTCTTACTAGCAATCTCGTGTTCCCATTGTTTGATTAAAGCCAGTGGTGCCACAATCAATGTGCTTTTGCATTGCTTATCCTCCGATCTATTGGCGACAATTAGACTGATCGTTTGGACAGTCTATTTTAAGAGGATCTCAGCGCAAGAGGGAATAATGATATCTCAACGTGAAATCCCTGACCTTTCCGAGACCTGAAACGAAAGAAAAGTTGAGTATCAAATTCGAAACCTACTATGGACTTTCTGATCATACCCATGTCATCTGAAATCAGAGATACATAATGTCGGTCAGTCTGTTGCATGAAAACTCTAGAAGAGATGCACCAACCTGCTAGGATGCCTCCTCGGGTTTTCCCATCTTCACGGGTTTTCATCCATGCCACACCTAAAAGTAAATCATATTTCAGCATCTACA